AGGTGGGGTAGTTTTGGAAGGGAAGGAGGGGTTGTCGCAGATTGCCCTTGAGATACTGCCCTCTGACACGCCCTGAGAATGCAGCGTGGCGTGAAGCTGGAGACTCGATTGGGGAAAGGTCTTTGGACGCATCCACCCAAGCAAGAAACATTTCTGGGCTGCTGATGGCGGGGTACAACAATTGAACAATGTCACTACCCTACCGTGAGCTATCAGTAGCTATCGTTTTTAACTGGGAGTTCCCGGCGGAAACACACGAGCCACCCATTGTTCTCTGTTAGTGCCCCTCAGTTCCACACCTGAGAGGCAACGTACACAGTAAGATGGACCCGAGTTGTCACCGTCACTTTGCGTTGCGTTGAATGATTATCATCTTCTTCTGCCTTCCATTTTGCAAGCTGACGTGCCGTGCCTCCCTCGCTTGTTCACCCACTGCGTCGGTGTGCCTGAGGATAATGGCCCGAATGGTCTAGAATCTGAGACTACTGGCTGTACGTGCCTGTTGATGCATGACACGACAACTCCAACATTGCCTAAGGTAAGGTAGGCGCTTTAGGGCAGGGCAAAAGGCAACTTGAGATTGTCCATGTGCATGACAAGTTTGGCAAATGTGAGAATAGGTAGCAACCCAAAGTCAAAACAACAGACGGGAACCTGCGAGCAAAGGAAACTCAAGAAGGAGGGGCAGACGTTTCCCTATTGGCTGAATCCTACTTGAGTGCGGCAGGAACGCAGGGGACCTGCCTCGATATGGAAGGGCGGTGTGGGAAATCGGGGAATGCACCTCCAGCCTGCGTGCCTGCCTATCTGTCTTGAGAAGTTAAGAATATTCGTAGGTACGTATAGGAATTCGAGCCTGAGGGAAAGAACGTTTTCTCATCTTCTTACCTTAACGCCTTGGGCTTATCGTGCTCGATGCTGCCCGCGGCACGTGCGCGCTCGACGCTTTGCCTCAGGTACGAAAGTAATCCACTCGAGCTTGCCTGGTCCCATTTCTGTCGCTAGCTTCTCTTTTCATTCGCTCAATCCACCGCCTTACTGGAGCCGCCGCACCTTTTTTTTCTTCCCCTTGCTTGAAGCTGCTTGTCGGAGACGTGCTAGGGTGACCTTACTCAAGCGTGTTGAGCTCTGCGCGCTTCAGGAACCTCCGCCTCGGATTCCATGGACATCCTCACCGTTGTTGACGACCCCTTCTTGACTCTCGCGGCTTCACTAGCTGCGCTGAGTTGTCACCTTGTCTTGCTCTGTTGAGAAACTGATGCAGGTTGCATTCCTGAGTTGTCTGCTTCTGTCAATCAATGTCTCACCCTCACGCGTCAATTGTCTCCCTCGATTGGACGAGCCTTTCCTCCTTCAACTGAGGCCATGACGGCAATTGCAGGTCAAACGTCGAGACCGCCTCGAAGCCGTTCTAGCTCTCGCATTGTTTCTTTTTCCTCGACAACGGTAGCCAATAGTGAATCAGCCGCCACTCGTCACCGCTTCTTATAATGGCCTCCCTCGATGCACCAAGACTCAAGACAGACTATGCCAGTCTGGACCAACAGTCATGTCGCTCGCTTGATAGTCGTAGAAGCAGTTGAAGCTTCCGACGTCGACTCTTTCGTGATCACCAACACTGCTCATCCGCTAACATCAGAGCGGCGTGGGGCCTTCACACGGCCGCCATAAACGCATTTTTCGATTCTGGGGCAGTCCGCAATGGCGTGATCGGCGGCAAAAAAAGATCCAGGATCCCGTCAGTCAGTCTGGGACCTCTGGGTGACTGGCACGAATGGCACCGACTGCCAACGGGGTCTACGGCCTGCCTCTACACAGTAGACTCTTTTCACTGGAGCAGGTTGGAGCACACTGGAGTAGGAGACTGGAAGCATGGAGCACGCAGAAAAATCCGCGCAAAACCTTCCCAGCAAACAACCCTGGCTCCCGGTTCTTCCTCTTGTTACGGGTCGGGGTCTCATTCTCGAATCTCGAGTTCTCAAACCCCTACCGCCAACCCCACCTCTCCATACCCGTACATCGGAGCCAGCACGCGCCGATATTGCAGGTTGAGAATGACCGGGCTTTTCAATGGGCACCGCCTCCAACGCTGCCGCCCGGCCCGGCCACAATATGCCCTGTGCTCGACCAAGCAAGCCTCCTTGGCCCCCTTACCAAGGGCAGCGGGCTCAAGGAGACTTTTTAGACTCTTTTTCGCGGGTCGCCTAGCGTCGAATCCGGCCGAGACCCAGTTTCAAGTCTCCGACTCTGCACCTCGTATTATACGGGCCTTCACTTTTTCCATAACCTCTTCCAGACTCTCAACTCCACGACTGAAACCAAACGTCCCATGGTAGCGATATAGGTGCCCGGACCTTAGCATCCCGTCTTTCTCCTCCATGAGCAGCAGGATTTTCCCGCCCGCGTTGCACTGCCTCGACGATCCAAGCAGCATCAGACGGACACTTGGGTCTTGGAATGCAACAACGCGGCGGCGCAGTCATCTTTTGATTCCTCGAGCTTGGAATGCCGTCAATGCCAGCTACGAGAGCTAGTGCTTTAGAGCATTGAAGTGTCCCCCTTCGCAATGACGCTGGCTGGCGATGCCTTCAGCCATGATCACTAGCCGAGTTCAACAGGTTTAAGCAATCGCGATGAGCCTGCCAGAGCGAGTATTCCCCACGCGACAGTCCGGGATAGTGGGTGGCACCGAAACATGATCCTTCTTGTGGGCTTGTCTAGCTTGTTTACTGGCCACAACTGACAAGGAAACGACGATTCAAGACGCCTCATGTTTTCATCCGACACAAGACGCTCATCCCAAGGCATCAGTTGAACTGCCTTTTTTTGCCGTGTATATAAAAAAAGGAGGACGCCACCAAAAATAGGAGATCAAGAGCCCATCGTTGCACTGTCTGAGGGTAGATTGAGAGATTATCGAGCACCTTGACTTACCAAAAAAATCTCGCCAAACCTTTGATTGCAACTCCGAGCCAGGTGGGAGCAGGAGATCGCCTGCACAGACGAGACAGTTCATGACAGGGCTCGGCGGGAACGTCAAGAACTGCATCCAAGCACCGCACCCCGGTCCTATATCAGCCACGGCTAAGATGCCCCAAGCTTCCGCTACAGCCGTGTCCCACGAGAACACAGCCAACAACCCTGTCGCCTGAGGCAGTTGAGGGAGCACTTCGCGCGGCACGACTCCCACACCAATGCACTCAGTGCGTTTGACAATGACGTTTGAAACCAACACCCCTACCATCCCAAGCAGCATCATCTCGTCTTTGACGTGAATCGCTGCCCCATATCAGCGTTCTGTTAAGCTGAGGATGCAGCAAGAGTCCCAGCAACTCCCGACAAGCCCCAGCAAAGCCCCGGCTGAGCACCAAGCCAGCCACACCCTTATACCCTCCTTTCTGAAACTGGCTTAACATCGATTATCACGTATAAGCTTATTCATACACTGCACTTGGCAGACGACACAGGGGCCATGGTGTTAGGGAAGCTCGTGTGTGACCGTGTAGTTCCCCATATCTGCGGCGCCTCTACCCTGCCAAAGTTGCATCCAGACTTGGAGCAATTGATAATGAAGAGCGTCCTCAGATCCATCTAGGACTAGTTCTGGTGTGCTCTCTCTTTTCTCTTCTCAAGCTCTCTGGGAGAGTGAAAGTAACAAACGAAGTCAACGGCCTTTCATTATTCGTGTGCTCTGGGTTTTCTGGATTCTTCAACTTTTTGAGTACTTTCATCTACTTTACTTTCTCATCCAGAGCTGGCTCTTATACCAAGTGCTGGAACACTATTTTCACAATGGCACCCATGACTAGACCACAGGGCATCTTCCACAGACCATCAGCGTCTAATGTGTGAGTCTCCTGCAATACGTCAATGTCCCTCAACCTGATCTAATATTCTCTTTCACAGATCATCACACGAAGATGATAACCTAGCGCGCGTATTCGTCGGTCGAGGCGGGAAGATGAAGGAGTTCCGTATCAACAAGCAGAAGCTCAGCAACGCTGCCCCTTTCTTCGAGGATCAGCTGGACGCTACACCAGCCGGCGTCAAGGTGACGCCGAACCAGACACCAGTGCCGGTATGGTTACCGCAACAAAAGTCGACTATCCGCCTTCCCAACGAATCCGCCTCCATGTTCGAGCTCTTCGTAGTATGGCTGCATCAAAGAGACGGCTTCCGCAGACACCTCGACGAGATGATCACTCTCGTCAGTGATGCACCTGGCGTACCGTGCCAACGACTTCACTGGGCTCTGGTTCGCCTTCACATCTTCGCTGCTCGGCTCGATCTGCATCACCTGCAAGACCTTGCGATTGATGCCTTGCAAGACATCTACCTCCGCTGCGACTGGGATGTCACACCTCGCTTCGTCCATTACGTTTACGGCCAGTGCGATGCCGAGTCTTCGATGCGAATTCGGAGATGGACCGTAGCGATGGTGGCCTGGTCCGTTGCTGGAGGTTCGTCGTCGATCGTGAAGGACGATGGCGGGCTCGAAAGGTTTCAGGAAATGTTTGAGCGCTTCCCCGACTTCGCAACCGAGTTCACCTCGCACCTGCGCAAGATGAAGTCGAGCAAGCTGGACACACGCATCAAGAACCCTCAACTGCGCATCCCGGCTAACAAGCTTCGTAATGAAGAGCGCCAGTTCGGTTTCCGGCAATGTTCGTTCCACAGCCATCGAGCTGCCGTCGGCGAGCGTAGATGTCCTCACACCACGGCCAGCAGGGAGCTGGATAACTTTCTACTTGTGCCGTTGGTGATGGAGGTCGCCCCAGAACCAAGCCGTGGCCATTCCCGTCGCGACATGCGGATACCACAACCACCTTTCCGTCGAGAACGGATGCCTTACACCGCGCAGGTGTTTTAGAGGGACTGTGAACATTGCCAGCCTCCACGGGTGGAGGGTGCCCGTCTAGTTCGGCGGAAAACCAAACTCATCAAGACACACACCAAAATTCTAATTCTTCAACTCGTCATTCGAAATCACCTCTTCCTCTTCACAAGTCCTCGGACTCGGTCCTTCTAGGGACCGGGCATCCATGAGCCATGAAGACACCAAAGCCGTCTTTCGGCTTCGATGCCTGGCGGAAAGCGACGCGACTGCGTCCCGCGTCGGCAAGCTCGAAAACGAAACTACCGCTGCCGTCGCACTGGCCGAGGTCGATGGACTGCGTTCCAGGCTTGACCAGGACGGTGCCCAGAAGATTCTGCTTCTGTCGTACGGAATCGTCCCCTTCGTAGCTGGGGACGCGGAAGACGCGCATCGTGGTGGCGCCCTCGCGCTGGATCAGCTCCCAGCTCTCCGAGTCCTCGGGCATGGTGAAGAGGAGGCGGCACTCTGTCGATTCCTGTTGTCCCTGGACGCCGCCAAAGGTGACGAGTTGTGCGACTCTGTTCGCCTTGTTTCCTATAAAAGAGAACCGTTTGAGTACATTCATTCATTCATTCAGAATCTCCTTTGTCAGGGAAACCACACCAGAGAGGCATAGTTGCCAACCCAAAAAAGACAAGAAATTTCCAAAAAAGCACCAAAAAAAAAAAAAAAGAAGAAGAAGAAGAAGTCCTACCTGACGCGTCAATATCTTGGTTGACGTAGAAAAAGGCGGACGGATCCTCCTGTTCGAAGGGTTGATCTTGCAAAAGCCAGGTCAAGGAGGTCGGGGCATCGACGCGCGCGCAATCCGTCATTGCGTCGTGTTGTTGCTGTTTGCCGAAGAAGCTCGCTCTGCCGAACGCGGTTCCGGAGAGGGAGAGGACGAGCATGGAGACGATGATGCTGGGACGAGCCATTTTTTTTTGAATGTACATATTCAACTACCCAGTAGGGGGGATGAATATCCTGGATTACTTTTTTCCAAATAAAAAGAAGACACTAGATGTCTTTTTGCTGGACTTTTTTTTCTTTTGATTCCCTATTTTAAGCTGTGACTGTTTCCGACGAGCCGGTAATAAAAAGTTAAACCGGTGTATCGAGTAGGTGAGAGAGTATCGGTTGGTTGGATGATCGGCGGTGATCTGAGGAAGGGATCCAGGTTATCCGTGGAGGTGGGATGTAAGTCGAGTACACACTATCCGAGCACCAGTGGAAACACAACCGTCGTCGTCGTTATGTCGTGTTATGGAAGGGAGCACAAGAGCAGTTCAAGAGGATGACGAGAAGGATAAGAATAAAGCCGAGATTCAGGTTCAAGGGGACGGGAGGAAGGGGAAGGAGGGGAACGGGTGGTGCGGTCTGACACGATATTATACTCTGGACGTACCCAATCCCGACTTTGACTTTTGTGCTCTGATCTGGGTTAGGTACCATGTAGGCAGCCGGGCGTTCTTGGTGGTGGTGGTGGTGTGGTACAGGGGTTAGTTAGAAAGGGAAGCTTGTTGGTGCTGCTCAGAACCCTCTGGTTGCAAAAAAGCTTGGTCTCGCTCTTGTTTTTCTGCTTGTCCGGGTCATCAGACCTCTGAGGTACGAAGTACTCCGTACACACTGGACTCTACGGTGTTTAAAGTGTCTAAGTTAGCGAGGTATTATACGTTTCTCTTCCCCCTTCCCCCCATTCCCGAGCGGGCTTGTGACACCCGGGTCTGACGCCGCTTTGGGCTTCTCTTTGGTTTGCGTTTTGGTGCTTCCCCCGCGACGGCGCTGACGCTGATAGAGCGAGTTTTAGCGACTTTGCTTTCGATTGTGTTTCTGTCTCTTGTATCCGCATGTCTGTCTCCTTTGCTGTGTATCCCCTGTATTAGTTCCCGTACCTCCCAGGCGCAAGCTCAGGTTCCACCGTCCGTCATCAGCATCCCTTGCAGTTTCCCCCCTCCCTTCCCCCCGATGACCCCCCTCCTTCCTTATTTTCTTTCTGTAAGGTACGTAAGGGGCGATGATGCAGATGATGATGGGATTACTGAATACCTAGTGAATTCCCCCCGTTCCCGGAACATGTGTGTTCGATATCCCTTACCTAAGTAGGAAAGAAACGAATGAAGCGTGGTTCGGTTCGTGCCAAGGAGGGGGGGGGGGCACGGGGTGAAGAGCCAAGGGGAAAAAGTGACATTGGACTGACCTTATTGCGGTACAATGTCAGAATGTTAAGGCCCGGCGAGCAAGGGGGTGCCCGGGGGAGTCGGGGGACGGAGAGGCGCGGGTGCACAGCTTTTTAGGCAGACGACACTTTTTGTTTTAGTGCGGTGTAAGGCAGACCTTTGGATCGAGAGGTATTACCTAGGTATTAGCCCGCGATTATTACCTGCTGGGATTGGAGCTGTACGGATAGAGTGGTTTCTTCGGATTCACACCCAGCTTGCTCGGTGCTGGCTGTTTCCAGTTTCTTGTTCTCGATTTCCTGTTTAGGACAAGGCTTTTGGTTCGTTCGGACCACGGGTTGTGTCAAGTTCGTGGAAGGTTCGTGGTATTACTGCCAGTGTTTGGTTTGGTTTTGGTTTTGGTTTTACACCGGTGGGACTATGAAATGTCTCTGACAGACATTGGACGACTTTGTATTCGATTTAGGAACTTGAATACATATTGGTCGTCGTACCGGAAGAGATAAACCTGTCGACGGATGCGGTGGTGCATTTATGGGTACCTTGAATCACCCCCGGATGAATGCTACATTATCAGGCAAGGGATGACCAAAAAGCTAGGCTGACTGACGATCGAAGGAGAAAGCAGCACGAGAGGAACACAGGAATTAGGAAGACAGAGAGAGAGGCTCAGCCCTGGAGCCATTTCGAGCCAAGAAAATCGTCTTCCTGTTCCTTTTGCGCAGCGAAAGCTCCAGGGCCCCATCAGCCCCTAATCCCAGCTTCGACGCGTGCAGACAAGGGCAGAGCCTGAATTTGAATTAAGGTGCCAAATTAGGGTAGCTCGTGGGATATCTTTTCTTGGGGAGAGAGTCTTGGCTTTCGGCGGATCAATACCGTCATGACGGATCCTACCCGTCCTCCCTGCCCCTACGTTCGTTTCTCTTTTGTGTTTCCCTCGGGACTGGGTGACTGTCAGCGCAGGGTTCTGGCTTGAATGCGCGGACAGCGCACTTACACGCGCGCGCCGGGCTGCGCGCACGCGACAGACCCGAGCTGTAGGTTGGATGAACCCACACGTCTTCCCATCCTCCTGGGGTCGGGGATCTTGAGTGAGCCCATCCTCTTAAGCACTCGACAAGGGCTACAGACGTGTTGATGCATGAACCATTTACAAATTCATCGGGGGAAGCTTCACAGAGTCAATTGAATGATCAAGACTGGAAGACGCATCGCAATGTCTCGCAGATCAGTCGGCTCCTCACGCAGTAAGCCATTTGACGAACGGAGAAGATGCGCTTGCGCTAGTCCCCTGTCTCCGTCTGCCGTCTGCGTACATTGACCCGCCGGGCCCTTCGCGTCTCTCCTCTCTCTCATCCCCCATCGTCCTCCGCCGGCGCAGAGGCTTTCCGTCCAGACGAAGATACGACCGCCCAAGTTGGGAACTTACGTCGCGTGCCGTATGAATTCACCTTATTCTGCGAAATTGCCTGGATCTGAACGGACGCTGGTTCGCTTGCAAACGCAAAGTCCCCTTACCTAGCTGAAAAGGCCCTAGTATCCATCCGTAAAAAGAGGTCTTCCCCAACTTTTTTGGGAGGCCTTTTTTGGGCATTGGGAAATGAGCTTTTCGTTGGCCTTATGGGGCTAGACGGTGGGCATTTCTCGTGGTAAATACGAGCATAGCGTGCGAGAGTAGGGACGATCTTTCTTCTTCACTTCTTTAGCCCTTGGAGTTAGGGTAGTGTACGCGGGATGGCGGATTCCTTCATTCCATGTCAGAGTGGACGGGCAGAGAGAGTTGTGGGAATCCCGAGCTAAAATAGCACGGAGATCATTTTATTTTCGTATTCCCTGGACCTGAAGCCCCCCGTCTCTCTTCCGGCCCATGTCCCAATTATGCCCCTTGTCTGAAGGCGGGTATTCTTAAGAAATGGGTGTTGTTTCCAAAAGGTCGTGAGATTTTGGGTGCAAGAATGTTTGACACCGCGATGTTTACGACGGGATATCTTGGAGGCTAGGTTACCTCATCGGCCAGCATTCTATGGAACCAGCGCATGCGCAAGTGCTAGGGAGCGTTTGCGCCTGAGTGGTTAGGAATGTTAGCCCCGCCAGTCTAACGTCCTGTTTTAAAGCGCGACTCTTCCATTCCGGAGTAGGCCTCGGATAATGCAAGTCTTTGGATTGGATGAAGGAAGAGCAAGTAGCAGACAGGCCAGACAGATGCGTGACGGAACATAGTCTCGGAACGTCAATGACATCTTTCTCTTCGCCCGACTGCTGCGCCGAGCCGCGACTTGAACCAAACCCAGGGAGACCGTCAGGTAGCAACAGGGGATCGGAAGAGAGACAAAGTCCATTGTCACCGGTATGAACACACTGCATACCTAGTCACCGGCCGATATGTCCGTCTTCCGTGCCCCAATCCTCTTCCTCCTCGCGTGGTCCACGCCGCCGCCGTCAGCAGCACCAAAGCCGGGCGTACCACTTGGAGGACAACTTTGCTGAGCCTCTCCGGTGGCATCCGGGGAGTGGAGTCAAGAAAAGGACTTGAGTATGGAAAGTGTGATTTGGAGAAGCGGCGCAGTCTCTTGCAAGAGACCCGTTTGGCTGCGGCCGGGACATTGTGACGCTGGCACCGATCGAGAGAGACAGACAGCATGTAAACCCGCCCGACGAGAGCATCTTTGGGGATCCAATAAGCAATGCAGTGGTCTGCCCTGTCAGAATTTAGCAAGAAGAGTAGAAATTATGCAGCTCTCAGTTAGTCTCACGTGCGGCTAGTTGGCTGGGTACATAAACCATGACACTAAAGCTCTGCAGATCTCGACATCATGTGCTAATGCAAAGTCTGGGGAAAGAGGAAGAGCTCTAGCGTGCTCTCTGACCATCTTTCAAGACCAGGCAGCACGTAATAATCACATCCTTGACTTGATCATGGCGGCCAAGTGACCAAATGGACAGATCGAGCAGACACAACTTAAGCAACTGTGGCCAAAAAAAAAAGAAAGCCATGCTCTGAGAAAAGCATACCATCGCTCATTTACACATTTCACGAGCGAGGATCGAGTCCGTCGCCGGTGCGTGTGAGCTAGCGCCCAAGACGGTGCGTTTCTTCTTGTTCCCCCGGAGCTGCCAATGCCAGCCTGGCGGACCTGTCGGTCTCGAAGCTTAAAAGCCTATGAGAGGGGGAGGAACCCTATCACCGACGCCATTTCCCATTGTAGACGTTTAACAGGCGTGTTTGGACGCGCGCGCGCGCGCGGGGCACTGCAGATAGATACCTTGGAGCTCTTAAAAGGAGTAGCAAAATGTCGGAGGGTACTTGGGCCGTCAGGACCATTTGGGACCCGAGCCTCGGACGCCGGGGCGCTCGCATAGTCCGGATCGTTCGGGTCCCGCGTTGTAAGCGCAGGTGGTGTATTCCTTTCCACTCGGTACACTTACGACCTCTGAAAGTAGTGGTTCAAATTCTTCATCTGCCATAGACTGCGGCCATGTTGATAATGAGCAGCAATATCATTACATGAGTATTTCCATAGCGCACTCCCCCGTTTCTACAAGATCCCTCCAGCCCAGGATTGTACGAAATGAAACCAAGGGCCTTATTGAAACAAACCGAGACGAAGGGGGAGGAGGCCTTTGGAGGCAGCCACGCAGCCAGCCCGAACACGTGGAGGAGCTATAGGAACGGCCCTTTCAAAGTTTACCGACATTCCAACAACTTTCCTCCACGACGGAGGGGAAGACACTACTTTTTCCAAATGCGAAAGCGAAGGCGATGAGATAATTGCCACCAGATTTTCCGCGACCAACGCGGGCTTTCTGCAAGGCATAGCCTCGAAAACCCCAAAGGTAAGAGAGACTCGTTGAAAAGTATCGAAGGAAAACAAAGGCTCGCCGGAGATCCGAATGCATTCGTTTCCCTTTCACATTCCCCGGGACATCGGGACGCCGGGACATGCCTAAAGCACGCAGGGGACTGGGCAGCTCTCACGATGAACCATTGGGGAATTCCAGCACGGGACACTCGGCCGAGACGCAGTGAAGCAAGCACCTTCTCCTTTGCAAGATTTGCCATGGTCAATTCCCGACATTGAAGGAACGCAAATGACCATCCTCTTCCTTGTGTAGAACCACACCGTTTCTCAATCCACATTCCTCAACCGACCATCGAAATCTCACAAGAATCCGATATCAAATTTCATGTACAGCCCCTAATTCGCGTCCCAATATCAAATCTCCTCCAATCGAGTGGGTGCCTCTCACGATACCTTCGGAAATCGGCTCAGTATGTATCATCAAGCCCCCCTTGAAACGAAACATCGGCATCTCATCACCGAGCACCCGCACCATATCCCGTACCTCAATCCGAACGCACATTCCCCGACTCACGCATGCTCCAGGTACCGCCCAGACACGAACGGCACGTGAATCTCGGCTGGATAATTAGGCCCCGAGAGGCATTCTCGAAACTTTGGCCAAAATCCTTCCACCCCGCCAGTCATGATGTTCGTCTCCTCTAACCAACAAACCTCCTCATCAAATTGCAAGGCAACAGACACCATTCCATCCATCGCTTGTCTCCCTCCTCCCTCTACTTCTGGACTCATTCTCTACTGTCTTCAAATCACAAGGTATGGAGGCCAAGAATATCTCCACCCTCCAGTCCTTCAGACAGCCAAACAGCGCAATGGACTTCTTACGGATCCAACGTCGCGTTCGTCAAAATGCCTGGCTGCTTTCAGTCACTCCAGGACCGACGCCCACTTCACGTAGCGTCAATCCATCACTCCTCTGGCGTCTTGGCTCGAGGTGAGGGACAAGACATCTCGTATTTCCCCGCCTCCCCCGCATAGGGTCAGTTTCGAAAACGTCTCCATGTCGTATGGGAAGCTATTCGAGATCATCAATCAAAGATACGTCAAAGCAAGGCAGCTTCGGTAAGAACTCGCGTCACCTGACGTCAGGCACAATACTTTGGAAAGAGAGTAATGCCTCACATCCATTTGTCTAGAAACGACTGTTTTGTCTTCCTCTTCACCGAGTTTTTTTTTTTTTTTTTTACTTTTCTGTTCCAATTGAATGCCTCATCTTCGAGGTGAGTTTCTCACCCAAGCAACGCCCCGGAACCCCATACGAGGCCCGGTCGTCGATACGTACATAAAATATCCGACGTCCTTGCCGAATGTCGTTTCATCATGTCCATCGTCAATAAGAAGCCGGGCTGCGGAGAACCGACAGCTGTGAACAAAGACAAAGGAGATGTCATCCACATCGCAAACCATCTCAAGCAAAGTGGCCATTAAGTAGTCCTCCAAGCCAGGAAGGGTATCTTCCTCTCGATATGTGAAGCAAATGTGTCCGTAAGAAGTGAAGTAAGGGAATATCGGGGCCATCATCAAAGCGTGCTGTCGTCTATGTACCAGTCGAAGGGTATGTCCTTGCAGGAGTATCTCCACAGGGGTATCGAGCAGATAACTCGCATGGACTCATAAGTCGTGAGAGTAACGGGCGTAGCAACATGTACAAAGAAAATGTTTCACTAGAAAGGTGATTCAGACCGGCGGCGATTGCTGTCTCGGCGTCTAAAGTTGCGAAGGCGTTCGTCAATGTAAGCCAAGCGGTCAGCCAGCTTACGAGGAGGAGCAGAGCCACCATCCCCGCTGGCTTGTTGCTGGATCGTGGCAAACGGGCGAATAGTGTCATGATCAAACTCTTCTGGCTGTGTGAAACGATTCGGGAAAGAAAAGCTAGTCTTGGTTCCAGGGAACGGTGATCCGAGCCTCGCAGGAGGTGCGGTTGGCGCAGCCAAAAAGGGATCAGGCAGGTTGGGAAGCCTGGACGCAGGTATCTGCATTGGGGCTGTGAAGAGCCCACTGAGACTTGTACGAGGTACAAAAAGGTCGTCGTGTGAGTTCCTATCCGTGGAACTAAATTCGACTTCTGGTTTAACCGGTGTCTTGGGTAGGGTCTCAGAAGGCATCGGCTCAGTCCAGAGGTCGGAAACAAGACTAGGTCGTTTGGTCTTGCGCGGTTCATGAGATGCTTGTCTGGGTCGTCCAACTCGCTTTTGCGTGTTCGATCGACTTCTGGTCAGACGCGCCGGCGACTGCAACGTGCGCCTGTGGCCAAGACTTTGGTTCTGTCTTTGAGGTACTGAAGAGACAGCAGCAGCCAGTGCACCAGTTGAGCTGGGCCCGTAGCTGTTGGCCATGAAAGGTGTCCCCAGTCGTGGGCGGTCTTCGAGAGGAGCATCCACCTTAGAAAACTCCATGGGGAATAGTGGGAACGGCTCAGTCATTGATTCTTGAGCAAGAGGTTCGGGTTCCGACTTGGTAAGTTGCGCCAGAGGACCCAGTGGTTGCATGGCTTCTGAAGTGCTCAGAGTAAGCGACATGGACATATCGTGAGCTGAGAAGACGGACGGGGACCGGGCCGGTGTGGATCTTCGGTTCCAGAAACGCGCCGCCGTTCTGCCGAAAGGTGTCGGGCTGTTGGCGAGGAACTTGCTGGTGCGGGCCGATGATGAAGCGGCTTTGAGCTTGCACAAATCTCTCAAGTGAGCTCGGGTGGAAGCGCAAGTGTGCGGCCACTGGAGAAAGGTGCAGGTCTCGATAGTAGGAGTGCTGCTTCCGCTCTTGGGGTTGAGAGACTTTCTTCCACCCTTGGGACCTCTCCAGCTTCGCTTCGCTTCCCTCGCAACGCGAAGACAAACCCCGTGAGGCGGCACGCCACTCTTAGCGGTACGGAACGGCGTGACCTTGGGGTCCTGTAAATAAGTAAGGTAGGTAGCCCAGAGGTGGTCACTCATTGCCTTCGTCCACGGGGCCTTTCTCCTCTTTGCCTTTGGTTTGGATGAGGATGAGGGTTCGGTAGGTTCTTCAACTGCATCGAAGAATGAGTGTTTGACGTGATCCGACGCGTCAGTCTCTGGGCTGATGCACTGCAGGTCTTCTGATGCTAGGGAGAAGCGACTGAAGAGGGAAGCGCTGGTTTGCGTGGACCGTGCGGTAGATGGCCGGCTGGACTCGCACTCCGGGGTAGACTCGCCGCTACTGAAGGCAGAGTCGATGGACCAGTTGGGATACCGTCTAGGGGATAGTGAGGGAGCGGCGCCAGGTGCTGGCGTCTTGGGTGGAGAAAAACGCCTTCCGCGAAGTTTATGTAAGGCGAGCTCGTTCAAGTCATTGAGATTGTGAATAACCGGGTACGTCATGCTGGAAAATCGTGTTTGCGTGTCCGGACCAGCCGACTCGGGCTCTTCGATGCTGGGAATCGGAACGTCGGCGGCAGCAACTGACGCGAGGAAGTGCGTCGTTGGAGCGTTCAAGTTGGATGCGACGCGCCTTTTCAGTCTCAATCGCGGACGCGGCGGCGATGGAGGCTGAAGCTCCTCGTCCATAGCGGAAGGCTCCGGTGTTTTGGGGTTTTGCTGATCCGGGTCATGGAAACGAAAGCCTTTGGGCAGTGTCGCCGCTCCGGAATGTTGAGGGTTCATGTTAGCGGAGTTAAGGAGGCGAGGAATGTCGCGACCTCTTGGAAAAATGCCAGCGGCAGGTAGGCTTCGCGATTTCTAAGCCGTTTGGTGAACGTCTCTCTGAGAACAAAGGCGACGTGGTCCTCCAATTGTTCTTGTGGCGGCAAATTTGAGACAAAGTGGTATTTGAGCGCGTGGTAACGTCCCTGAGCCTCAAAGGGCTTCGATTGACCTCAATGGCTGTCGCACAGAATGGGCGCGATATTTAGTGTGCAACACAAAATATGTCCAACACACTACCTAGGTCGTGTACTGCTCAACCAATGTAGATCTGTAGCTGGTATGGAGCGCTCAGTCAATTGCAATCAGGTATGCGACGGCCTCGGCTGGATTCGAGGATCGTGCGATTCAACACCGCTTTCTCGTCAAAACATTGGTCGAATGGAATAGAGAAAAAGAAAACGTTGTCTTGGTAATCGTGGTAGATGTCGTCGCAAGTGTCGCTTCGTGTTATGATATTCGTGGATGGATCGTCTGGACGTCCGGGAATCGTCGTCGCAATACTGTAGATAGGTAGGGTCAAGGAAATAGGTCGTCGCGACGAGCCAGACGGACGTAATAATTATTCGTCTTGTTTACTGGTGAATGGCTCGTGATTAGGTATGGGCTTATCGGGGGAAAATCGAAAGCGCGCAACCCCCACCACCGGAGGACGGCTGGTGTTTGCGAAAAGGAACGACTGTGGTTGAAGAGAAAGGTGGGAGGAGGAAGTTCGGACAGGCTTGGGCTGAGGCGGACCGGTGTGGTATGTATGGCAAGGTCCAGCGATGGTGGGCGGGGTGGAGAAGAAAGAGCGGGTGGCGCGAACCTTGCTCGAGGAGCCGGGACAGGGCGGGAGAACAGAGAACACCTCTGGTCCTGGCAGGATAGGTACGAATGGGAAGAGACCTGTGCCTGCGCCTGAGCCTGTGCTCGTGCCTGAGGGTTGCAGTGGAAAAGGTCGACAGGCCCTCGAACACCGAAAAGTACCTCACCAAGCCAAAGTTGAGGTGAACCAAACTTCACACACTGCTCGCTTGAACCCCCGTGCAGTCCTGCAGTTGCAGTCGGTGCAGCAGCAGAGCGTGGTGACCAGGGGAGGGCGTCCAAGGTCCACGGGTTGCAGTCGCACAGCGGTTGAGCACGCTAGAATCCCCCACCTAGGCTAAACCCAAGGGAACCTAGTCAAGCCGTCCAAGGCGAGTGACAGTGGAGCGTTTGTGACTGACGGACACACCAGTAGCGGCTCGAGACAGGTCCAGAAGCTCGCCAGCGCATGTGGCAGAGTGGAGTCTAGGGTGAGCGTAGTCTCGTTTTGCGCCGAGAGACCCTGAGGATGCAATGTGCGGTGAGATGCGCAAGGTAGGAAGCGCCTTGTTGAAGGAGGAGACTGAGGATCGTCTGCCCCGTCTGCCACTGGAACTGGGCCCGGTTGAAGTCGTGGCTTGTAAGTTGTCCAAACCCGATCTCTCTTCTTCGCAAGGAATCCTGGAGAAGAAGCTACTTTGAAGTTTGAGTGAAATGGGTGGCGGCGTGTGAAATGGGGTTTGGCGACTGCAGTAGTCGTATGTACTCCAGATACACTGTGTCGTTCGTTTGGTGTAGCTATTCGATGGACACGACAGGAGTGCAGGTACGGCGAATGATGGAGCAGCGAACGACGAGGGTGCAGAGTCCGAAAGGAGCGATGGAAGCAAAGCAAAGCAATAGCTTCGGGCTCCCGTTGGTTGATTCGTTCGTTCGCCAGCTGCAAAGCAAGGTACGCCGCGCGTGAAGTCTGGGAAGCGCGCCGGACTAGGTATTGGGTTGGTCAAGACAAGCAGCCGATGCAGGCCACCGTAGTAGGTATGCTTGGTGACGGAGAACTCAATAACACCAACGAGACGACTGGTATTTCTTGGGTGTCGGACGACGCAGAGGATGTAGCAGATGCCGCGAACGAAAAGCTCAAGCCACGACTAGTAGGGCTCAATCGTAGACGGGCTGATGCAACGGACGAGACGACAGTCGAATGAACAAAGCAGATTGGGAGTCCGGATAGACAATGGCAAGCCTCAAAGAGACTCACAGAGAGACGGTCGAGACGATCAGGCCGCTCGGTTTGTGGGGCAGTGAGACAAGAAACCAGACGATGCTGCCGAAGCTGGATGTGCGTGCAGCAGCTTCGTGCTCGCTATCTCGTCTTGGGTAGGGCGCGTTTGCCCTGCGTCTGCGGTGCTTGTTGGTGCGAACTTGCGGATGGTGGTTCTCCTGGCCACAGCCTGTGCGGCGATTTGCGCTCGGTCGTCTGCGACCGGGGCAGGGAAAGAAGGGAGGCTGGTTTCTGCGTCTGCAGCCAGCAGGCTTAATCAATGTCTGCCGGGAGTGTCGTTCTTGGGACGAACAGAGCCTCGAAGTGCAGCGATTGAGCGTTGAGCAAGCCACAAAGTGGATAACGAGTGTTGGGGATGGTCGAAGATGAAGACTGAATGATGGCCAATGAACGAGAAAGCGTCCTCAAAAGAGTGCCAGTTAGCTCGAATGTGGCACCGATGACGGAGAAGAGTGTAAGACGTGACGAAAGTCGGATAAGTGAGCGAACACACGGCCTGGTCGTGTTGTTGGAGTAATATTCTTAGATGGGCTATCAACCTTGGTTGAGCCGGTAATTAGGAGTTTGAGTACGGAGTACGGATAGTAGGTGAGCACGAGGTGAAGCGTTGGATTTGGCCGGTGAAAATCAAGGTGAGTGTGACGGGCGGGAAGCGACTCATTGGCATCACAAATTGACAATTGTGGGCGGTGACGTCCGTCCAACCCAAGTTGAGAGAGAGAGAAGCGGCGGCGCATGGGTGGGGGGGAGGAGTGCGTGGAGTGTTCCAAGAAAAAAGAGACGACGGATGAAACTGATTTGAGTGCGATCCGTGCGAGAGGTGTGGGAACTTTCACGACTTGGAGTGCTGAGAGGAAGGGGAGAAAAAAAATCAGACATCCGATGGCCGATGGTCGACGGCCCAGATGTGAACTTGTGAAGTGCGGAAGCGACGCGTTCAAGACGCGGCTGAACGCGTCTTTTCGCGTTGAGTGGGTCAACTCACTTGCCAGAGTGGATACTCGTCTGGTATTTCTGAATTTTCATTGGCCAGTCAGACCCACCAGGGCACCATCTGCTGGGCCTGCTCGATGTGCTCTTGGCAGTTATCGTTGGTACTTGCCTCTTGGTCCACCACCACCTGGAAGGAGAAGGCACCTCCTCGTCTGTTCCTCCCCCCGATCGGTCTTTCCTTACTCCATCATCCATGAACGGGAATCTGCCAGCTGAAGTCCCAGAGTCTGGACCTGCCGCACCACAAAGTGCATGAAGATGCGATGCCAGGATCACCGAGCAGAAAGCGGCTGTGCGGAAGGAGCGGGGAACAGAACACGAACAGACGAGAGTTCCCAACTTTGCTCACTTCCATGCTACCTAATTACAACTTTCCAAGGGCCACCAACTACCGCCAACTCTTGACCCATTGACTGAATCATGAATAAGGGGCCCGATCTCTACTCCGTACTCCGTCGCTCTTCGCCGTCGGCTCTGACTCCCATCCTTTGTGTCAGGGGCAATCGTTAGCCGGGAGCTACTCGGGAAAGACTTTTCATTCCATGACTTTTTTCACCAATGTCCAAGCTGCAACACGACGGACGATTACAGATACCTGAGGCAAACGAATCCTGGCCGAGACTAACATCAGCTTGCACACACTCTTACAACGGCGCCGGCATAGAAGCAGAGGCTGGGGAACAGGCTCTCTCCCAAGTCTATTGTACCCAAATCCATGTACGATGCTGGGTAGGGGTGGCCACTGATGGATGATACGAACAAGTCCCGCGGCTGGCGCGAAACACACGAATAGCATCGCCGTATGCTGCGTCGCGTTGTGTGTTGTGTTTTGTTGTACTGTGCTGCTATACTTCTGCCCCTAAAGCTTGCAATCGCTACACTTGGCCCTCGAGCCAATCGAAGCACAACATGGCGCGTTCGACAGCTGCGAATGCCTGCCTGGCCCTGCACGACGATGGGGTTTGGGATGCGGTGAGCCCGTCTAGGTAAGGTTCTTAGGGGCGGCAAGAGTATCAGTACGGGTATCTATGGCCTGGTCGATACTCTCCAACACTCTTATCATACATACCTATGGGCAGGGCATGGTCAACTGCAAGCAAGGCTTCTTCTAGTGCGCCGAGTATCATGGGCTCTGTACCCTTCATGAGCTCAAAACCATGGGCCACCAATCTCTGGCCGGAGAAATGACAGGAGGCCCGCCCCGGGATCAGCGAGTCTACTGCGACGCTGCAGCTGAACGCTTCGGGATCCGCAGAGGTGCGTTATTGCAAGAACGGCGGGCTTTTCATGCAGTGTCCATGTTTTCTCTCTCGTCCTATGTCTGGATACATTGGCTTTCGAAGACACTACGGCAAGACAAGATGAGCTCATATACCTTGATCACCAATATTCAAGTTCACCGCGGCTCAGAATCTTGAATTTCATCCGAGTTCTGTGTGCAGTAGGTGGTGCACCGCAGCATGCACAGAAAAGGTCAGGCTAAAGTCGTTCCCGTCCAGACGATCAAACCGTCCGAGTCAAACGAAACGGCCACCCCAGAGGGAACTGAACAACTGTCAACGGCTTCGGTGCAACGTCAAACCTAGAGGCTAGAAGACCTTGGGCTTTGCGCTGGCCCAATCAAAACATAGTCTACCAGACAGTCTTGGCACTCTGCGTGGCACCGGTTCGGTTGTCCGCTGCGAGATCCAAGCAGCACGAACCCGGGGATGCTGTGTTGTGGTGCGCCAAATCCCCTGGTCTAGGCCGACGTCGCGAGCATTGCGATTATTCAACGACGTGATCAGACGGAAACATTCGGTGTAAGCTTCGCCACCACTGCACAACGGGTTGTGCCTCGGCCGTGTCTTCACTACTATCTGCCATCAGAAATCACGCTTCGGTGCCCGTGATGATAAAACAGGTACGGCTAAGTCGCCAGGCTGTCTCATTGACCCTCAAGACTATGTAGGTAGTGATTCCTGGTCGTGAGACGAACCGACAAGGGGCAACCCTTGAGATCAGCGGCAGTAGGAAAACCAAGCCATGAAAGTTCGCGGCCTCTTCTATTTCAGCCTCAAAGCTGGTCAGGCGGCAGCCATTATTCACTTAAACTCGACTACAGACCTCACTACCGCCACAGAGAAATAGCGTTTCTCGTCGCATGTTCCTGTTAGCGTGCGCCGAACGCGAATCCCACGATACTCTGTGTTCATCGCTCGATAAAGGACATGTCGAATCAGTACCTCTCTGCAACCTGCGATTGCCAGAGTTCTCACTTATTCGGCATCTTACAAAATACCATGACGCTCAGAAAGGGACAGAAGATCCAGGGGCATTGGGAGACTGCTGAAGAACGTCGGTAAAGATGGCATCTCGGACTAGCAGCCTGTCGAGCGCGCTATCGCCAATCTTATCCCTTTAATAGCTGTCGATCTACGCCATGCCATTCCGAGAACGACTGAGAAACGCCACATTTCTGGCTCGTTCAGCCAGGCGCGAAGCTTTCCATTCCACTCGTTTCGCCCTCGATAGCTGGCTGGGCGTCTTTCCTTTGAGAGAGTCGCCTCTTCCGCCTCCTCATCAGCGAGATGGTTTCCTCAACTCTTCTCATCACGGCAGCAGCTCCAACTGCATCGATTAGCCCATCATGCTCGGCTCGACATCTTTATCCCAGCTCATGAAGCTCGTGGGGCCGATGCTCCTTATTCTCTGGTCAGTATGGTACTTGGGAATATCACGGCAGCATGTACAGACAATCACCCGCAAGTTCCGCAATCAAAGGGAGCTATTTATCAAAGATTTCCTCGAGCACGAAGTTGACGGACGCTTCGACGGCGCGGCTATCCAAGGCCTGTGTGCCAGCAAGAAATGGACAAAGGGATTGATGATGGGCTGCGATGCAGCACCAGGAGGGATTGGTGAAGTGCGGAATGCCCACTTGCACTGCATTCGCTTTGCGATTGAGGCAGGAGGTAAGCATGTCCCTTGGATAGAATGCGGGTTTCTGGATGATAATTTCATACTAATCGATGCCAGCGGAGTTGATCCTACCCGAGATCATACCTCGTTCAGAAGACGACATCAAGAACATTAATGGACGGCCCGCCGTTCCTCTCGACTACTACTTCGACGCAGCCCACCTCAACCACGTTCTCCAGACGTATTGTCCTCAGATGAGAGTACACGGGTCGATGAACGACCTGTACGACGTGCCGGAAGTTTTCGAGGCCCTTCAGTTTAGTATCGCGGATACGAACAGCAACTGGGTCAACGGCACCGTCCTAGCCGAGCCCTCGGACTGGAACAAGCAATTCCACGACTTCATCAACGAGAAGTCACCCCCCGCGGAAAGGGTATACCCCTTCCGCACCCATCTCAAACATACCCTGTGGACGTGGCCGACGGCACGTGACAAAGCGCCCGTGGCCTCTTCGTTCGGACGCATGCTTCGCATCCGCCCGGATGCCCGGCGCCTCGCGGCCTCAGCGCTCTTCAGCCTCGAGTCCCGCTTCCAACTTAATCTCGACCCGCGGACGCGGTACCACCCGTCGAGCTTCGTGGGCGTTCATCTACGCACCGAAGAGGACGTCAACGAGAGGTTCCCGGACTACACGACGCAGGCAGCCAACTACCTGCACTACCTCTCCGAGTCGGAGTCGAGCGTCGCGTTCCTCGCCTCGGGCGCCACCGAGACCAACATCACGGCGTTTGTCAACCGTGCCGAGGACTTCAACGTCACGGTCGTCACCAAGACGGATATCTTAGACGACGAGGAGCAGGAGGCGCTGGAGGCGCTGACGTGGGACCAGCGTGGACTGGTCGACTACGAGATCATGCTGCGCGCCGGCATGGTGGCGGGCGTCAGCGCGAGCAGCTTCGCGTGGAACCTTGCGCTGCGGCGGTCGTACGCCTTTGGGCAGGGTCCCATTGGCGTGCCGCTTGAGCCTGGCGAGACGATTTCGTGGAAGGACGAGTATACCACGCTGTACGGACGGCACGAGAACGCGTACGCCATGAGGGCGACGGTATGGCCGTGAGGTATTGACGGACAAGGGAGGGGAAAGCATTAATGATAAGTGCGTTTTGGCGGGACGTGAAGGGGACCAATGGAAACGAGGATTTAAACAAACAATAAGGCGGCAGTTCGCGAATATCTAAACAAAGATGTCTGGACGCTTATGGGTAGTGGTGGTCTACGGGCGTTTCTGTCATTTACCCCATCTACAATGCAAGGGATATCATATCAGTCTCATGTCAGATGTCGTCTTGGGATGTGTGTGCACATGCCTACAAGCCCGCTACACTGTGATGTTCTTCGTCTCAAATCACGCCGTTGGTTCCTTCTCGCAGCCCGATATCATATGGTCCTTACAGCTCTTCATTAATATTCGGCGAACGACTGCTTTTGTAAGTTGTCAAGAGGTCGTTATTGTCAAGTTTGATCAATGGTTGGATGGCATCATTAGGTGTTCGTTCACCTGCATATCCGGCTTTAGTGTGGTGAGCTTCACCTACCCAGGCTTTTTTTTTTTTCCAACCCGACGTTGGCCGAGCCATCTCGATTTCCCGTCCGGTGCATCCAAACTGCAAACGACGAGTCGCTTCGGGTCCGGGTTTGAACCCCTCGTTTCGGTCAAATACTTGTCCTTCTCATGCCGATGATTGCATAGTACGGTAAGGATACATGTCGACTGCTAGATAGCATGAGCAGGGTCTGCTTGAAAAGGGAGAGGGAAATGACGGCTGCTAGAGTTCAGGTTGTCCAGGCAAACGTATTGACTTATTCAGTTCACTCATTGACTCGTGTGAAGGGACACGGCAATGTTTGTGTAACCATACTTGCCATGGTATGAAGCAGAGCAGACAAGCCGCCCCCGTGCCAATTATTCGCGAGGGACCCCGCCACGCTACCTCACATCACCTATTACCCCTCGTTCGATGTTCGTCAAGCGAGCCGTCAATGACTGACAGGTGAAAAAGACGGGCAAGGAAACGGCAGGCAAGCGGCGACCACGGCTGCTGACCCGCATGAAGCGATGCATCCAACTGCAGTAGAGGTGCGTCTCTCTTGCGTAGCCCAGTGCTCCAGACCCCCGTCATGACAGTCAAGGCAGTGGTAACCCCCGCCGTCACGCGACTACGTGACCCGCCTCACGCTTCTCGGCTCTAGGGCCAGGACCGTTCTAGATGTCTGAAATATCATGATGGGGGAGCACGAATTGGGCCATTAGTGAAAGAAAATATGATCCGGTTCCAGTTGCGTTGGTTGTTGGTTCGTATTTTGCGTAAACCTGGTTGAGGATATGTCGTGAGATGGATGAGGCAGGTGGGGGAGGGGGAGAAAGATGAGGGGTGAAGTCAAAATGGGACGAAATGGTTTCTACTACTGTGTATTAGTTGCGCAGCGTGCCCAGGGGGGTCTTCTCGCGGATGTAGGCTCAGCGTTGCTAGCTCCGTGTAGACCCAGAGCTTGGTATCCATCTCAAGGAGATCCATGGATCCTTGCGGGCTTTTTTTTTTTTTTTTTTTTTTTTTTTTGCTGCTTGCTTCTGTGAAGGCACAGAGTGAGTGAAGTTGCTTTCTGGATCGTCCCCTTGCGTTGCTCATCTTCACGTGGCCGCCTCAAACTAACGTAGCACTGTAAGTAGCTGTCGTGAGCTGCATGATACGGACCAGGTATGAATATTACGCATTACTACACAGTAGGTTAGTCTAGAGACACGGGCTGCGTCTTTTGGTCAGACTCGCAGCTGAGGTTTTCCAGGTTTCCGGGGCTCCAATTCCAAAACGCATGCCACTCACTCACCTCACTGAATGAGGGAGAGTGAGAGACGGGAAGTGAGAACAATGTGCCGCTGCCCATGGCAATAAATCCACACGCGCAACACGCTCCGTTTTCGTAAAGTACACATCGCTGCCTTCCCCGTCGTTCTCCCCCCTCACATGCGTCTCTCTCCTCTTCCAATCCTTTCTCTCACTCAGTCACTCTCACCTTCACTCTTATTACTCACTCATCCTCAGCTCACTCTCCCCGAATTCCAGCAGACTGACGACCTACCTTACCGTACGGACACACTGAACCACTCTCAGCTCTCTGTCTCTCCGTGTCTCGCCTTCCGTCACTCAGCCAGCCGTTCGCATCTTTCGGTACTTTTGCAAACTTACCTACCTGCTACATTATATAATCCTTCTCGCCCCGGCCCGGCACTCCTCTCTCTTCCCCCCACAGACAAGAACCGAGAAAAGAGCGTTCGAATCCTTTCAGATACATATTCTGTACTCCGTACACACACCTTTCGTACCGAGAAGAAAAAAGCAATAAAGGCAAATGTTGGTTGCCGACATCCGCGGAAATCCCTCTGCACAGCGCCTACTTTGAGCAAAGATACCACCCAACCATCCGCTCTCTTTCCTCTTACTCTACGTTACCTTACCTCACTCACTCTACCCTTTTCCGCCCCCAGCTCCCCTCCCCCTCCCCCTCCCCTCCGATCAAAAGACTATCGGCTTCGCGCCTCCCGCTGCCGGCCATGGCTACCAGCGCTGACATCATCACGCTTGACAACTTTGAGGAGCTGCTGCCAAGATGGGACCCCGCAGGCTCCAATCACCTATATGCGATTGTTGATATGGGCAGGTCAGTACCTAAGCTTTTTTGTTTCCCTCTTCGGTGCAACTATCCGCACAGATTCGTTTATGTCGAGAATTTCTTTTTCCTTCTGTTTCTGCCGGATCGCCCTCCAGGATTGCCTCGCCGATGAGCAAAATCTGGGGAAAGCCTGTCTTGTCTGTCTCTGCCTGTGCTTTTGAGCCTCAATTCTCAAGGAGCACACATCTCTTTCTCATTGACACACCATGGCGGCGGGCAACGTCAGCCGGACCACGTCTTTAGTTCCCGCTTCTCCTAAAAATAAATGCACCATGACAAGAACAAACCACCGGTCTCAATTACTGACCCGAGCCACCGGCCCCACCAAATAGCAACGGCATCCGCTTCTCCATCTCGGACCTCACTCCTCCCCAAACCCGCCTCCTCCGGCCCATCTACCGCGAACGCGCCGGCATCTCCCTCTTTGACGCCCTCAACTCCGCCTCCACCGCCGCCTCTGAGCCCCTCACCTTCCCCCCGGAAACAATCACCCAGGTCGCAAAGACCCTAGCCCGCTTCCGTCGCATCGCCGTCTCCTATGGCGTTCCGCCCGCCCACTTCTCCGTACTCGCCACGGAGGCCATGCGCCGCGCCGCAAACGCCCGCGACATGCTGACAGCCATCCGCGAGGCCGCCGACATTGGCGTCCATGTCTTGGCCCCCGAGGTCGAGACTCTCTTCGGCGCCGTCATGGGATCGCGGTCTGCCTTCGTCGACGTTGCCCGCGGCGGCCTGTTCCTTGACCTCGGCGGTGGCTCCGTGCAGATGACCTGGGTGGACACGCGGCTGCCAGACTACGAGGTCGCCGCCGCCAAGGCGGGTGAGAGCATGCCGTTCGGCGCCGCGAGGCTGATTCGCATCCTCGAGGGGCAGTCGGAGGAAGTACGCATCCAGGAGAAGCAGAAACTCAACGCGAGCATGCAGGGCGCCTTTGCAAAGTTGTGCGACAAGTTCCCCGCGCTCGCGCAAGCAAAGGCGGATCACGACGCTGCTCATTCCTCCTCCCCGTCCACCACCACGAACGGTAGCAACGTGGTACCCGGCGGCATCGACGCCTACCTCTGCGGCGGCGGCTTCCGTGGCTACGGCTGCATGCTCCAGCACAACGACCCGATCCAGCCGTACCCGATCCCCTCGGTGGGCACCTACACCGTCACGGGCGACTTCTTCAAGCAGACGGACAAGATGCGGCGCGTCAACCGCGAGCACGAGGGCAAGATCTACGGCATGTCGAAGCGCAGGCGGCAGCAGTTCCCCGCCATCATCGAGGTCGTCGAGGCCTTCATCCGCACGGTACCGCACCTGCGCACCGTCACCTTCTGCGGCGGCTCCAACCGCGACGGCGCGCTGCTGATGAAGCTGCCCAAGAGCGTGAGGGAGAGCAACCCGCTCGAGGCGCTCGCCGGCTTCCCCATCCAGGGCCACGAGGAGAGCGAAGGGGCGGGAAGCGGCGGGGACTTGGCTGTTGCGCAGGCGATCTTGAGGACTCTGTACGGCGCCGTGCCGAAGAATGTTGATGTATCGCGGACGCCGACGGTCTTCTCGCTGGGCCTGGGACCGCTTTTTGCGAGGCAGGTTTGGATTCACCAGGGCGAGGACGACGATGCGAATGCCTCGTATGCGCTTCACGAGGCTGTTACGCGTGACCCTAGCGCGCCTGGGCTGACGCACCTCGCGAGAGCGGTGCTGGGTCTGACGGTGTGCGCGCGGTGGGGATCGAATTTGGGCCCGATTGATGCGCAGCTGTACGGGAATCTGAGGGGCCTCGTCGCGGAAGCGAAGCTGGAGAGCGTGTTTTGGGCAGAGTATCTTGGTGCTGTGGCGGCTGTCATGGTTGATCTCGTGCCGGCGTGGCCTACCAGTGTCGAGGAGCTTGAGTCGACTTTGAGGTATGTGTGTTACGACCCCTCCTTCCTCGATATTGGAGCATGTCGAGAGCCATCGACTAATAAGTGGAACAATACTGACATTATCACATAGATTCGAAGCTACGCAGACGTCGGACCCCGAGAAAAAGAGGGCGAGCATCGATCTGACCGTCCACGTTGCACCCGGCGCGGCAGTCGGCATCGATCCTGCGGATGTCATGGGTCGGTTGGCGAATGTTGGCAAGAAGCGCAAGGACGGGACGAAGCCGGACAAGAAGGTTTCGGTCAAGATTGTGGAAATGAAGTAATAGTTAATAGTGTTGTTTGTCCGTTGTTTTGGGTTGTTTTTGACGAGTCGATGAATCTTATGAAAGATACCCCCCTCAACTTGGCCGTTGACTTCACCTCGCTCCTGGCAACTGATATCGCTCCCATTTAAGGCCTCGCTAATGGCACCGCAATGCTCACGTTGATGATATGATTTCTACTGGATGATATTCAGCCACCCATTCTAGGATATGTCATACGCAACGGGTGGTTCTTCCTATCGTAATTCCCGATTTCCTGCGAGCGCAGAGCCCCCACAGACTACAGATACCAATGAATTCGCTAGGTTTCCAAAGCCTATCTTGACCTCTGATTTCCTCTTTTTGAATGCCAGTACTATTGTACTTCCTTCTACGGTATATGTGTAACGACCGCGGCAGTAGTGGTCTAGTACGCCTGGCTGGCAGTAGCACGCAGTCAATTTAGCCAGTCAGCACAGCCGAGATAACCGCAGTCATAAAGAAAAGTGCCATAAAGTAAAGTGTTTTAGGTCGAGTTCTATGTTTCCTTCCTTTGAGCAACGTTCTAAGCGTTTGGAGCAGCTGTTCGTGAACTCGTTCCTTTGTCTCCAGTGATTCAGTGCACTTTTTAAAACCTCAACCCTCAACAGTCTCACTCAAGTCAAGGCTGGGTTGTTTCTGATAACATGTATTGGCGTTGAGCGTCTGTTCCCATTCACCAAAGTCGCTGGAAGAGATTTCTATCCCTTAAGAGCAGGCCTCATGGTTATCGCATAGCACGCTTCAATGATGCACGAATTTCTCTTCTCTCCACGACATCATCTTCAATGGTACACAACCCCTCTCTCAGGACGGAACTGCTCCGCCACCAAATCGAAACCAAACCTCACCCCAAAGCTTCAACAGAAAGACTACCCGAACCTCGCCCTTCACCGCCCACGGCGGCAGTACAGAGTAGACCAGTACATCCAAAACCAAGACCGAGGGCGGCGGCAGTCGTGCAGCCCGTACCGCCGTGGTGGATTGACGCAGACGGGGATGTGATCATGATAGACATACTGAACGTGGAAATGCGCAGTAGCTGGGTGTTTGACATGGACGGCGATGTCATAATGGGAGGATGCGGAGGGATGGGGTGGGAAGCGCGGCGACCGCCGCCCGTGCTGGTTCCGGTGCCGGTTGTGGTGGTGCCGGACAAGACGGGGAAGCCGAGGTGTCCACTTCCACCGCGACCCGCTCCGCGGCCGTATGCAGAGGTTCGGCACAGCCTTGCGATTCCATGCAACTGACGGCGAAGCGCCCTCCAACTCAACGGCGCGAAGGGGACCAATGAGCAGTGACAATAATATCTGAAATGAAGAACATGACTAGCAGTACCATTTCACCAGACCTGCTGCCTAGTAGGTACCGTACCTTGGATAGTTCCCCCCGCACTTTGGCAGAGCAACCAACTTTCCAGTCTTCACACATCTCGCGAGAAGCAGATGGTTTGGACATCATGACGGATCCAGGCCTGCCCTCTCTATCAGAGGTTCAGGATGCTATGCATCACCTAGGTAATATAAATTAAACCCTTTTCTACATAGGACATTGGCTAACTTTGTGCTTAACCTATAGACAAAAACGGCCCAGGTGCGCGCCCGCTCTTCCAGGACCCAGCAAGACAAATACGATTGTTCACCCTCTGGCCAGGGACACAAGAGAGTCCGATCCAAGGGGTATTCAGTGTGGCTACTCTCGACGACGGACCTGATTATCTGTGTATATCATACGTTTGGGGCGATGCCTCGGACACCAAAAACATCGCAGTGGACGGGAAAGACTTCAAAATCACGACATCGCTGTTCTCGGTCCTGCGGCGCATCAGGTCTGAGCAAGAATACCTCACTGTGTGGGCCGATGCGTTATGCATCAATCAGGACGATCACGAGGAGAAGCGGGTGCAAGTCGACATGATGTTCGATATCTACAGCAAATGCAATAATTGCTTTCTCTGGTTGGGTGAGGTTGACCTCCTCGACGGGGAACTGAGCTTAGACATTGCTCGCTACGGCTTGAACTACATCGAATTCTTCGACGATACAGACTTGGAAAGAGAAGACAACGGCTTTTCGACGGCTGAAGGGTTGATGAAGATTGATCTCACCTTTCGAAGCCTGGTCAAATGTCAGTGGTGGCGGCGAATATGGACAGTCCAAGAGTGCGTCGCTCCTCACACGGCAATGTTTCTCTGGGGCCCCCTCACGATCTCTCGGTCGTCTCTGATAAAGTTCCGTGAAAACTTTTGGAACGTGAAACCAGCAGGATGTGAATGGGCAACTTACAGTTACAAGGGTAATTCCGAGGCAATGTTCACGGTATTGTCAACAGCACAACCACTCTCGATGTCGAGAACACTAGTCAAATCAGGGCCACAGACAACGATGAGTGGTGTAGCTAGTCTTAGCTTCCTTTGGATGACCTGCGACCACCAAGCTTTAGACCCACGCGACAAGATCTTCGCTCTACTACCGTTCATTACAGCAGCGTTAACGAACACGAATTCAAGCAACTACAATATCGACTGCGTTGAGGTATACAGCCGCGTCACGGTGGATCTTATCCAATCTTGTCGGTCATTACTCCCACTCATGGGACGCCGGCAGAGCGAGATGCCGTTGGAAGGACCATCTTGGGTTCTGGATTGGCGTCGCCAACAGGCGGCACAACACAGAGAGCCACTTCCATTTATCCGGACTCTCGGCTTCAGCTCCGAATTCAATGCCTCACGCGGCATTCCTGAACTACACTATAAAGACCTCGTTTCGAGCGACGGGCGGCGCCTCAGACTACGTGGATATTTCGTCGGTACGATTGTGAGAACAATCATGTCACCAGCCGAAGTCTCCTCGGGCCCTCGCCACCGCTTTGATTATTCTTACACCCTCCGAAATCTCATCAAGACATGGAAACGGCACGTGGAAGAAGATGCTTTCAGTGAGTTCCGAAGGCTGGATAGGCCATTGTTTACAAAGGAAGCCATCGCAGAGTTTTCTGAGATGTGGAATGACATGGAGAAAGCTAGGGAGTGTCTGCTCGATTTTTCAGCGCCCGAAGAGTTTGGCATGAAGAAGAAAGTAATGATGCTACTAATGTGGCTGCAATCCAGAGTCATGAACATCTTTCTCACGTGTGGAGGTCGCTTTGGCGTCGGAACACACGACACGAAAGAGGGAGACGAGGTCTGGATCCTCTGCTCAGGATTTATGCCGCTCGTTTTACGACCAATCAAAAATAACAGTGAGCAGGGGAATAACAATGGCGACGTTGACGATTCAGCCACCTTCGCTCTATCAGGGAGGTATGACAGATATCATCTAGTGAGTGAATGCTACGTGCAGGGGGTAATGCATGGCGAGCTCTCAATCGGATCAAATCACTGTTTACGGACTATCGACTTATGTTAAGCTGATGTTGTCACTTTACTAAACTCGCGAGAGTTGGGATCGTTCATAACTGTACCTCAGTCTATTTCATCAAATCTAGTGTTTTTCTCATAGGGAGAGCGGGACTCTTACATAGCACGTGTTTCTCGAGGTGCCACAGATATCAATACACGTACTAAAAAATGTTAGTGAAGGCTCAGGTTCAACAAAGGGATGCCAACGAACCTTGAAGTACTTGTTCTGCAAGTCTGTCTCGTCCAGGAGCCCACGCTCATAAGCCTGCTGCTCATTCTCCTCCGACGTCGCGTGTTCCGCCCTCCTAGACCGATTTCTAACCCACAACAGACACCAGAGGCCACACAGGCATGCGATCTGCATACCAACGCAGAAGATCATCATCGCGACGCCCAGGGGGTACCGCGGCGCCTGCTCTGCCTTGAAGAAGAAGGGGCCGACAAAGTTCCCGAGACAGTACCCGATCAGAAGCATTGCGTTTGTTGTTATCTTCTTGGTGTGGCCCGCGGTGTTGGCCGTGGCGACAGACATGGACAGCGTCCAGGTCGCCGTGTAGGCGAAGGAGATCCAGAGACAGGCGAGGCGGCCATAGGGGTTGGATTGATCAATGAGCCAGAGGCCGAGGATACCAGCAAGGAAGGGGGCGAGACAGGTAAGCATGATGGCTATGCGAGCGTTTGGGTAGTAGGAAGCGAAGAAGCTGCGTTACGTTAGCTGGGAAACAGGAAGCTGAAGATTTACGGCTTGCTCACCATGCCAGGGGACACAGAATGAGCTGGACCGCTCCCGAAGGCATCTGGACGAGAGTAGTCTGAAGCGTCGAGAAGCCCATGCCCCTGATTACAAGACCTTGGAACTATCGTTGTGTCAGTTTACAGTCTCCAAGGTAATATCTGACCACAACTCACCGTCGTCAATCCGCCATTGGGAGTGTTACTCGCCACAGCAAACAAAAACAGAAGCCATGTCTTCAAGTCCATCATGGCCTCCCTGAACTGGGGCCACTTGAACTTCTTGTTCTCGACTCCCGTACCGTTCGCCTTGACGCGACTAATAACCATCGCTTTCTCCTTCTCTGATAGAAACTTCGTCGTCAATGGCGAGCCAGGAAGAAAGATGAGCATGAGAATCCCCCACGCCACCGTAATGGCGCCCCAAAACAGAAACAGAATCCGCCAGCTCGCGATAGACCCTTGCACATGCCCAATTCCGAACGTCACGATACCGGCCGTGATGTACCCCAGACCCGCAGATCCGATCCAGATGCCCATACGAACAGGTTGCTCCTTTCTCGAATAGTACATAGAGAAAAGCAACATCGTACCCGGGTTGATCGAAGCCTCGAACGCACCCAGAAATGTCCGCGTCGCCGCAAGCCCAGCAAAATTATGCGACGCGGCGTGGCACATGAGCACGGCGCCCCACAACACCACGGTGGCCGACATGAAGGTGTTTATGGGCAGTTTCTGCAGCAGCACGTTTGTAGGGAACTCCCAGAAGAGGTAGCCCAGGTACAGCAGCGCGCCGGCCCAGGAGAACTCGGAACCGGTGAGACCAATGTCCTCGCGGATGCCAAAGACGGCGGCGTAGCTCAGTGTCGTGCGGTCGATGGACTGCAGGGCGTAGGTGATGCAAAGGAGCGGCATGAGGCGAAAGTCGAGGCGTCGGAGGAGCGCGGAGCTCTCTTCCGGGTCGATTACTTCACCTTCGGCTGCGTCGAGGAGGTCGAGGGGCTTTGTTGGCTCGGAGGCCATGAGCTCCTCTTTGGGAGTCATTTCCGTCTTCATGATTCGCTGAGTCGGATCTTGGGAGAGAGATGAGAGGGTGTTTCGGCCGCTGCACTGCAGGTCGCCAGACTGCATCTACATCTAAAGAACATCTAGCTATATAGGATCATCGGCGACGTGAGTGCCGGATCTACAAACATGTTGTTAATGATTCGGTATGCCTCCGAGACGCAGCAGATAAGAGCCTGTGGCACCACTGGGGCGGGGTTACTGGTGTGAGACGACGGCGGGTGTAAGTGACGTGTCGACGACTTGATTCCACAGAGTTTATGACTAGACGACGTGAGATTGGGACGCGGTTGACCAGCCGTGTACATGAGCACTGTTGATGGTTCGATCTGTAGGAGAGCTCCGTATAGAAACTCTCTGTCCAGGGCGAGTACAGAATGGGGTGTTGTCGTTTGCGTTGACGAATAGGATGCCGAGCACTGGGCAGCGAGGCTTCACTATGGAACCGGGTTGCTTGAGATGGTCCAGATGGCCGGTGTAATGGGCCCGATGTTGTCGATGGGGATTGGGTGAAGCGAATGTTCAAGTCGTGGGTTTAACGAGAGAATAGTAGTTGGTGAGAAAGAACGGAAGGGGGTTGAGGGAAGAGGTGTAGATGTAAGTAGAGGAGACGAAGGACGAAACCTGGGAACCAAACGAATAAAGTATGGTAGGCGGTCGTGGTCGCGTTTTTGTGTGCGGTGCGTTGCGGTGCCTGGGTTGGGGGTTAGATGGCATTCCCTGTCGGGGGGAGGGGTGTGGGTGAGGGTAGAGTCCAGCGTCGCGTGGGCAAACGGCAGACCGAGCGAGTTTATTCGTACTTTACGCACACACCTCGGCCGGTGGATTCTTCTTCTTTTTTTTTTTCGTCCCTTTCCTTTGGTCTCTGGGTCTCTGCTCCGTACCCAGACTCAAGTATCGAGTGAAGGAAGGATGGCAGTGACAAGGATGTGGGAGGGATGCCGTGGTGGAGCGCTCGGAACGAAACACTGGCAGCTACCCTTGTCCGTGCCGGGGGCGTGCGCTCCTGGGACACTGAACAGAGTCCGGGTCTGGTGTGGTCTGGGATCCTGACTGGAGACCTGGGAGTCTGGGACCAGGACTGGGAGCCCGCGGCGGCAGGGGAGTGAGGCCCGCGGTGACGAGATGATTCGGGATCTGTGATGTGCTGATGCTGCTGCTGCCGTGCCGTGTCAATGTGTGTTCAGCGCGTGCGTTCCCATGTGCTGGACCGTAGAATTGCACTGGTGATAGACAAAGTACCAATACTGCACGACACGAGCAGGTGAGATGCAGGGCTCTGTCGTCCCATTCATCAGTTGCCGCTGCCGCTGTATGTACGTGTCTGTTCTGCCAGTGCACAGAGCCAGTCAGAGAATTAGATCTTGACCGGACGATGCGACGGCTATGTATGTGCTCTCTGACCTCGTCGTTTGTTGTGTTGCTTGTACTTGTGGCACCTCGGCAAAAGTCGTACTGCCTGTGGCAATCAAACTCGACTTTCCAATCGACCACTTTGATTCGATTGTGTCTCCATGTTGTGCCAGCTAGACTCGATAATTTCTCCCCGTAGACTCTCGTAGGTAGCCGTAGGCGAAAGAATCTTGGGCCGAGAGGCTCTGGCTACCTTAGTTTCCGATGGTAGCATGAGATGGCGAGGGCTGACACTGGAGCTGCGGGGGATTATTGGCCGCGCCGTCCCCGATTAGATAAAAAAGACAAGCCACAAGCGCGATATAAAACATGGGAAAAACGAAGGTCCAGAGACAATGGCGTGAGGAAAGGGAGGGGGAACCATCCGTCATCCCACCCGGCGGCTTCTGGAAGAAGAAACAAGAGGGGACGCATCGTCAGCCACAGTAGGATTGCCCCAAAAAAAAGAAAACTCTCGACGCGCAATGGCTGACTGGCAGAGGGCATATGTCGAGGCAGTAGCAGTCTACCTAGCAGACCAGTCTCGAAATGCGTGGTTTTTGGCATCTCGTCTTCTTTGCCAAGCGCCGTCACTCATCTCCTTTCTGATATAGGTCGCTGTCCCCGATAAGCCCAGAGTTGGAGCGTGAGCCGTCTTTTCCCTGGTTATCCCTGGTCCGTGTTGTTCTTAACCAGCACGGCTAATGTCGCTTTTGCTCCAGCTCCGGCGCAATCGACGATGCTCGTCTTGCCTTTCCCATCATTGATTGACACGATCTGGGTCTATCCAGGCTGCCAGGAACAATCGCAAGTGAGGTTCCCACTCGGCGAGTGCCTCGCACCATGGTTTGCGAAATGACGGCGCTGAAAAAGACCCCGTGGTTGATCAAGTGAGGCTCTGGGCCGTGCTAGTTTTGTTTACATCGTGTCGCTTTCGGCATGGTCGCAGCGACGTGTCGAGATGGGCACTAGATGCTCACTAGATGGCGACGACGGCGCAGGGTAAGGCTGGACTCGAGAGCTGCGGTCGCATCGTATGTGAGGGGGTTGTGCAGGTACAATCTCCGGTCCTCTTTGCTATCGCCCGAAGCTGCCAATTGAAGGTGCTCCCTTGCATCCGTGAATCAACACAACGAGCTATCAATCGTTCCGTCAAATCCGTTCTGGCCAGTAGGTGTCCTGGCGCGAGCTACGGCACTTCTGCCCCTCAATGGGCCATGGCGCTGTGCCTCTTCTTCTATCCCAAAGCAGAAGGCCATGATCGACGAGGCTAGCGATGAGATGCGTGGCGTCTCCTTGGACTGGTTGTTTGTTTTTGGGTGAGACACGCGAATCCCTGTCGGTTGGTTGCGAGCAGAGGGAGACAGAATCGCTCTTCCGACCCAAGACAAGCTGACACTTTTCCCTCGTGGACAAGTGGCCGTCATGCGCAGTCGGCGATAGCTTCAAGACACTTGCGACGTCGGACGGGGTTCAAACTTTGGTTGCTCGACTGCTGAGTCGCCGAGTATCAACAAAGTGAGGGTAACTCTTAGCTAGAGGTAGTGAGCCCACCCACCCGTTGGCATGGCAATTGACTGGTGCCAGGAGAAAGCGGAGGCAAAAAGCCAGTGCTCTCATGTTTCGACAGAGGGGTGTTCCCTCTTGAGTGTCTCTCTGCCTCCGCACCTTACGTAGACTAAGGTAGGTACAGAATAGCGGCTTCCGGCTGCCTTCAGTGGAGAGCTGGCGGCGTACCTGAGGGGGCGAAGAGGGGCGAGAAGGGGTCTAGAGAGAGACCTGAGGGGTCTTGCTTTGACCAACAGGCGACGGAGAGAACTCGGTCGCATGGGTGGTCCATGTTCTGCAGAGGGGAAGTTTGCATAATAAAAGGGCGGTTGTGCCGTTTCCCCGGTGCGCTACCTATGGCTTTGACCTTGTGCAGACGGTCAGATAAACATTGGTAGCTGGAGCTGGAGCTGGAGCTGGAGCTGTCTCCGCCAAATGGTCTTCTCTGGTTGAAGAGTCCTACGGAAGATTGGGACACTCTACGGAGTATCAGGCTCCCAGCCCAGTTGCCAGTGACGCAGAGCGCATCTAGATTCCGAACCTGGCCGAACTGACTCGGCCCCCAAAGAGGGCCAGCCCGGCTGCCCGAGTTGGTAAAAGAGATTTTCGAGATTTTCTGGGGAGACGCTATTTAGTTTTGTCGTTGGAATGTAACTGTCTAACCTCCATCGGGACACCAACGGCTTGACAACGACTCGCCAAAAAACGAGAAGAAGAACCAGGTTTAGCAATGGCAGAGACAGGGAAGGCGATCTATCGACGAAGAGTTTTCCATGGGTGCAAAAAGCGTAAAATGATACAATATCAGAGGTACCTTGGGTACATGAAGATGTGCAGCAAGGCACCAGGGATGGAAGTACCTCGAGATTTTCCTGCCGCCTTAATTCCCGACGGACCCAAATGACTGGGCAGGAGCCCGGGGGTGTCTGGCTGTCTGCTCCTGCTGCTTCTCGCGAGTGGCCAGGGACCTGTCTCAAATTTTCTATTCTCGGCTCCTGCTGGAGTTGGGAAATCTCGGAGGACGAAAATGACGCACGCCTGCCATTAATGGGATGCCTCCCCGCTCAGCGCTGTCACCTGTGGGAGTCTGTCTACACAGTACCATAGCTTGGGAGAGTGTCTCGAGTGCGAATAAGGAGAACGTTGCCAGGTCAGATGCTGATACCGAAAAGGACGAGGCCAATGCGAGGCAAGCCAAGTGTATAGTGCACTCCGTGTATATCAATGCTCAACCTCTTCTCGGCGCAATGGAATCCATTCTCCATCCAAAGGTCCAAAAGGAGCAAGGAGGGCTCTAATGAAGGGACGAAAAAGACCTTGAAACAATGGCAGATGCTACAGTGCCATACTCCGTACCTACCTTACCTGACCTGACCTCAAGGTATCTCCTTAGCCATGCCGCGAGGGGTACGGAGTACGTAGCGCATGTCTCTGCCTGAGGGCCACACGACTACCTTACCTTGCCTACTCCTGCCAACCACAGTCAACCTACCAGATAACGGAGTACCGACCTGCAGATGTACGGACTATAGACTGCCTGAGGTATGAATGTACCTCACACAAGATGTTCACAAGGAAAGACCTTCCAGGCTCCTTCCAACGTCTTTTCTGACTCCAAGGCGTCCCTGCCTTCCCGGCCAAGTTCCCGCACACACCTCATGCCAGCCGTGGGCCCCAGCTCCCTTCCCGCTGTTACCAACCCGCTGCCTTGATTCGACGACTTTTCATCTCCTCCTCTCCACCAAATTTCGCCCCATGTTGTCCTTAGTCCTGAATGACTCCTGGGTCTTGACTTGTGAAGCCTTGGGCCATGGTCCACCACGGCTTCCACTCCTTGACTCCGTGTCTCTCCACATGGCCACACTTTTCCACGACACTGCCCTGGCCGAGAATGGGCCTCGCTGTCCCAGCCAGGCACAGGCTGCAGCAGGCTTGCAAATTGCGTTTTCCCCGGCAAGCGAGAGGACGGCACGACAGGGCACGGCACGACAGGGCAGGGCACGACAGGGCAGGGCACGACATTGACAAGGCTCAACGAGGCCTGACACGAGCGACAAGGCCGGAGGACCGCCAGGATCCAACGTGCTCGACGGGGCCTGCGGGAATTAGATCCACGGCCAGAAGCCTGGAACTCCTTGGGCCTTGGAACAAGTGGAAGAAGCGGCGCCGATGACGAAAGAACGCATCTGAGATTCATCTCGGAAAATGAATCTACGGAGTCACTGAGTATACTGCAGTAAGGAGTACATACCTACAGGCTACTCATGTGAGGACGGCGCACGGCATGGAGCACTGCGTACGGAGTACTGTCTGCAGACTTATTGCAGTGCTGATCAATCCCCGGCCGCCAGCGGCAGCCAGCCTGTTGGGCGCACGCCGGCGCTCTTTTGGGGGCTGACGGCGCATTTCCACATCTTCTATTCCTGCTTCCTTTTTCTCCGACGCTTTCCAATCAGAGACGCCCAGCCCATGCCTCCCCCGCTGCTCGTCATCTCTCACGTCGATGGGAGATGGATTAGAGATGAGACAGGCCCTGTGGTTGGCATGTTGGTGCATCGCCATTGGGCCGCCGGCCGGCATTAGTGAGTCTCTGTCTCTCGTCTAATTCTGCTCCAGCCCCGTACGAATACCTAGATACAAACAAAGGGTGCTCTTGCGATGGAGGGTCGGAAGATGGCCATTGACTGACACACAATGTGCCCAGTGTCTCTTGAGCTCAACGTCTCCGTCCTACGCCCGCACAGAGTTTGTGCCCTGCGTCGGCCTTGCTGCGAATGCAGAGTTCTCGTCAACGATACGTACCGGATGTACCTGACCCTAGTCCCGATGTGCTGCGATGCGATGCTGAGGCGACCGCTCCCCGTTCCGCGGCCCCATGGGATCGCAGCAAATCCGTCGCATCTCATTCGTCGCATCTCGTTCAGACGAAGAATGCCGGGCCCAGATGTGTCTTGTACCTGCGTTTAGGGCTCACGCTGCCGCACCTCTGGTGGAGTGGCGGTCCAGTCTGTTTTTTTTTGTTTTTTTTCGCCCACATACATACACCATCGCACCAATTATGTATCCTTCCAAAGTACCTTTAGCCGGTTGCTTTGTCATTCTGAGTCCTTTCCTGCCCCGATCAACTTTGTCCCGCTCCTGCTGTTCCCACCACGCGAGCGGCGACGTCAAGAGGGGAAGCGGACGCCAAAGAGTCATGAATCCCACTTGTTGCGGAGTACGGCCCAGATTTCAAACTTCTTCGCAGCAATCAGCACCGAGAAGAAGCAACCTCGTCGAGAACCGGCCGTTACGCCTTGCCGAGTCTTCCCATTCGCAGTTGACTCTAGGATCTTGCTTGGAAAAGCCGCTGTCAGAAGAGGGGCTCATCTGCACAAACCACAAGCAGTCACAGCTCGGGCAACCAAGTGAACAAAAAGGCGGCTTTTGCTGGCAATGACTCGGTGTTATTCTGGGGGTTCTAGGGGATATCCCCGCCATGACCGCACCTTGGACAAAACGTTAAACCCTCGGTGGAGATGGCATCACTGCGCGCCCACGTCCGTCTGCCGTCCGTCCGCCCGCTCTTCTGCGAACCGCTCCCAGGTCCACCCACAACGTGTCAGCCCGCACACATGTTTGACGGGGTTGAAACGAAAAGAAAGGAGGCCAGAAAAAAATCTGCTTCTCCATGTTCTTTCGACAGCACTTGTCAACGGCTCCGATCCTTCTGTTGCCAATTTTGGAAAAAAAAAATGAAAAGGTTCGCACGGCGCTCCAGCACCAGAGTTTCGTCTTAGTCGGCGCCCCAAAAAGGGCCAAAGTCTGGCTAGGCCATTGGCCGTTTGCGGCTTGCATGCGCACACAACGGGCGAGCGTTGCAACTCACCATAGGTAGCTTGATGCTACTGTCGTCTGCTTTGTCCAGGAACAACTGAAACGGCACGATGGCAAGCAGCGCGCGCCCGCCACGTGGGGATCTACCAGACTTGCTGAGCTTCCGGTCAACGGTTCCTGTTTCGTTACTCCCATTCTGGAAGCATCTTCTACTTCGATAGCTGCTGTCTGGCCGAATTGATGCAACTACACGTGGTCGACAGTCTTTAGGTGGCGCCATATGTGTTAGACTTCACTTCTCTGATTGTGGGATTCAGGCGAGGGCACGCTGTGGCCGCGAGAGAGGATGCGCTGGCAACATCTCATTACGTACTGATAGGTGTCTATTTCGATGCCAGCCGTGCAGCCGTCGTCAAGTGATGCTCGGAAGCATATGTCGACGACCGCGCAGGCAGTTCAAGAACACTTCATCCCGCCATCGCTCGCGGTTACCTGCAGACCCGTCGGGCAGATCCCACGATGGTTCAGGTCCAGCCTGTGCAGTTGTATCGGGGCGCCGGGACGTTGTCCAAGTCTGTGCCTCCTGCTCCGCCATAGCACGGTTGTGGCCACCGCCGCCGGCTCGTCATCGGTCACAACCATCGTGGACGGCCAGCACTTGTTTGCCCGCGGCTGGTGCATGCGACCGAGCACATGCGCTCTGTCTCTCGAGGCCGGCGACTCACCGGTGGCCCCCACAGTCGGTCAAGTTCGTCGTAGGGATTCGAATTTCTCTAGAATCGAGGTCGAGGTCGAGGCCGAAGTTGCACGACGGACGTCGCCCGACATCTTCCGCCTTTGCTCTTGCGGCGCTGCACAATTCCCGTACGGATATGCGTGTGTATGGGATATTCTCCGGCTCCCGCGCGGCATCCCAGGGTGCTGCGTGGCAGGGTTGGGAATCTGGGGCGAGGCAAATTGACCAAATACAGCAAAATGGCAACGGCTTCGGGGAGTTGATATTAAGATTTGATGAAGGGGATTGGCCTACCAGGTTCCATCATCGCTTGGAAAGGGGGCTAAAGTGCATCCCTTTGCCGTTACATTTCGCTTCCCTTTGTATTTCGCCTACCCCGGTCCGTCGCCAGCGGCACGACCAGCCCCTGCTCCCCTGAGGGAAAGAAAACGTACGGGGCATCTCGCATCAAGTTTCTGCTTTATTACCCACGAGAGCTGTTAAGGAGGCTGGTGCAAGATGTACTCCTTCCCCCCAGGGGGTCGCCGAAGCTTTGGCGCTATCGATTCACCAGTGAAGTCAACCAGGGAGGAGGATATGCAGGGCTGTGGTTGACAGGTTCTAGCTTGCCGTTGCAACTTGCAGCCTTGCAGTCCAAGTGTGGTTTTGCAACGGCCAAGATATGCCTTGAGTCATTTGCACGCCGCCCTGCTTGGAGGTAGGAGTACGGCGTCGCCCGGCTGCTGTGCGAATGGGGAGATGAGAGTTCATCGTGAATCCGGAACGGGATCACGAGGCCCAGAAGGGGTATACCGTGGCTGGATATAGCCTGGGAGAGGCGGCAGCCCGAATTCAGCACGTCATGATATACGGAGAGTCGGGCCTCTGGTGCTTTTTGCGACGCGTCCTTGATTGGTACCGGAGTCAGAAATGCGATCTTGTCCTGCTGATTCAGCTGATACTGCGGCCATGGTTCCGTGAAGCTTGCAAATTTTGATAGCGAAGTGCCTAGACGGGCTCGGTCAGACTTGGTCGTTCGCATTTGCAATAGATGGGATGCTGGAGGAATGGGATGTTGCGTGTACTCACCGAGACTGCCTCAAGGACTAGGCATGATGCAGCGCTGAGTGAGCCACCCAGAGAAATCCTGCAATACTGACCATGTGCGAGATCACCGCCCTACAATCTACGATGCCGTCGGCCATTTTGCGAGTGTCCAGAGAGGATTCCTTTGCTAGCAGAGACATGGCTGGTAGAGAGATTGTCCCCTTGCGACTCTCCAACCATCATTGACAGGACCTGGCGGAACACGCTTCTCGACATGCGTTTTGGAAACCTCGCGGTTATGTTCGTAGACTGCTCTTCTGCATTCTGGCTTGGAATGGGACTTCAGTCGAAGACATGAGCTCGACCGGCGCATCGACTATTCACTGCAGACCGTCAGTCTCTCCTTTAGGCACTCGTTCGGTCAATCGGCTGGAGATGAAACTGGGCACAATTGTGCGCACTACACCGTGGAAGTCGTGGATCATGTTCTTCTCGCTTCAGCTGGACCAGAGCTTGAATGCTGTGTCGTCTCCTGCACGGCCACTGCGCGTTCAAACACGAATTGTTGTCGACTTCTGCTTTCACGAGGATCGCAGCTTCAACAAAGGAGCGATTTGTTCGAGTCGAGAAGCTCCCGCCATCGACGGACTGTATTCAGAGGGCTTGTTGAGGCCTGAGAATATGTCTTATTTGTAGAGTCGCGACTAGGCGATGCGAGGCGCAGGCATCGCAGTATGGTTCCAGAGGCGCTGTACAATCTGTGCAATTCGTAAGATGGACTCGGGAGGTTGAGTTCAAAGCCAGATGCAGAGATTGCCAGCGCCTTTTGCCTGGATCTCATCATCGTCCAATGAAGATGGTTCCCCGAGGTGAGCCTAGGAGGAAGTTTTGGGGCAGCTCCACGTGCCATGATCAAACGCAATTCTCAAGCAAATCTCATGATGCCCGACAATGGGTGGTGAGAAGTCTCACTGGCCCAGGTCCAGATTTATGCGACGCACACGTACAGAGATGGACGATGAGAACTTGGTGCTTGGGTTGCCCGGAAGGACCGGCCGAGAGACATCGGGGTGATGCCCCAAAAAGCTTGTCTGCGTGCTTTCCCACATTCTGACAGGCACGCTTCCATTGGCATCTGGGGGAAAGCTCGGGTCGCCCCTCTGATCTCCAGCTGATCATTGGGCGACCCCGCAATCGACCAAATATTTCGGCCAAAGCAACGCCGAGCTCTCATCTTTTTTTTCTTTCTCTTTGTGAGCCATGGTCCAAACAGGCAGCTCAACATGGCATCTTCCCTTGCGCCGGACGCGTGCGGCTTGCAGTTTGATTACACTTGCAAGGACCAGCGGAAGAATTGCGCGATAATACGGGCGAGGCCACTACGGTTCCTGCGTTACTCTCACGCGAGGCACGCAGTCTGTACAGGAACGGTGACCGGGATACCCCGCAATGAAGTAATGACGGCCAGACCTCGAGCATCTGATTGCTGGAAACTAGAATGAAGAGCTGGTGGTCTGCGCCTGTTGGGGCGAGAGCCATGCAGCTCTTCGTGATGTCGCATTCGGTCCTCATTTCCGCGACTGGGATTGATGGCCGGCAACCTGTGATTGATAGTGGTGGGCTCACGATCGTTTATCAGTCGGTTCGTTCCCGCGTGGTTTGCAGCAGAGCAGATCTAGAATGCAACGCCATTCTCGCTCGATCCGCACATTTACGAATCTGGAACCCGCCAAGGTTGTGCTGTCATGCGTTTTCACCGGGCTTTGACGGCCTTGATCTGGCTGTTTGCATCCGGGGCTTGGGCGACTGACAACGGCCTCACTGACGTGGTGTCGTGGGACAAGTACAGTCTCGTCATCAACGATACCCGGACGTACATCCTGTTCGTGTCGTCCCTTTAATCGCGTCTGGGGCTAGGTGTTGACTGATGACAGCTCTGCCGAATTCCACTACCAGAGAACGCGTAAGAAGCTCCAACCTCAGGTCTCGATTCGCAACTAACTCTTTTCTCCCACACAGCCGTCCCCGAATTGTGGCCCGTGAGTTCAGCCTGTCGAGCCTCCCTTTACATACTAAACCTTCGACAAAAAGGATATTCTGCAGAAATTCAAGGCCAATGGCTTCAACACCGTGAGGTGAGTACCGGCCTCACGTCAGCAACATCTCAGAACGCTCACCGTGCCTCTCAGCATCTACTTCTTCTGGTCGTACCACTCGGCTGCCGAGGGCGTCTACGACTTTGAGACGGCGGGCAAGAACATTCAGCGACTATTCGACTACTGCAAAGAGGCTGGGCTCTATGTCATTGCCAGAGCCGGCCCCTACTGCAATGTGAGAACCTAGTATAATCGACCATGTCAAGAGGCTGACACGTCCAGGCCGAAACCAATGGCGGCGGCCTCGCTCTCTGGGGCTCTGACGGTCGCTTCGGCAAGATCAGAACCTCTGACGAGCGGTACCAGGCCGGGTGGCTCCCCTTCATCACGCAAGTGGGCAAGATTATCGCCGCGAACCAAATCACCAATGGCGGCGTAGGTGCCTTCGTCCCCGTTCATCTGCAATCCGCTGACAAGCCCAGCCCGTTATCCTGAACCAAGTCGAGAACGAGTACCAGGAGAGCGTCTACTCCCCCGACCACACCTCGGTCATCTACATGGAACAGCTGAAGAAGGCATTCCACGACGCCGGCATCGTAGTCCCGCTGACGCACAACGAAAAGGGTATGCGTTCCCGGTCGTGGTCCACAGACTACAACAACGTCGGCGGCGCCGTCAACGTCTACGGCCTCGACAGCTACCCAGGCGCCCTCTCCTGCACCGACCCGACGGTTGGCTTCAACGTCGTCCGGACCTACTTTCAGTGGTTCTCCAACTACTCCTTCACGCAGCCGAGCTACCTTGCCGAGTTTGAGGGCGGTTGGTTTTCCAATTGGGGAAGCGCGACTTTCTATGATCAGGTGCGTGTGCGCTGAAATATTGAAGGACTGCGTGCTGACATGCAGAATAGTGTGCCTCGGAGCACGACCCAGCCTTTGCGGATGTTTACTACAAGAACAACATCGGCCAGCGCGTGACCCTGCTGAGCATCTACATGAGCTACGGCGGAACGAATTGGGGACACTGTGAGTCCTACACGAATCAGGACCAGCACTGCAGACACTGACAAGAGCAGCCGCCGCACCTCAGGTCTACACGAGTTACGACTACAGCGCCCCTCTCCGCGAGACTCGTGAGCAGTGGACCAAGCTCTTCCAGACAAAGCTCATCGGACTCTTCACCCGAGTCTCGTCGGATCTGCTCAAGGTTGAGATGATTGGGAACGGAACTGGCTACGGTGTAAGTCGCGCGGACTCTCGATAGTACCCCTGCTAACGCCCATAGCTCTCTTCACCTTCGGCCTTTAGCTGGGTTCTCCGTAATCCCGATACCCAGGCTGGCTTTACCGTCGTGCAGCAAGCCAGCACCAAGTCCATGACCCCCATCCAGTTCGATGTCACCCTCAACACGACAGCCGGACCCGTTACCGTCCCGAACGTCGTGCTCAACGGTCGCCAGAGCAAGATCCTTGTCACGGATTACGTCTTTGGCAAGCACACTCTGCTGTACGCCTCGGCGGACATTGCCACCTATGGCCTCTTCGACACTGAGGTACTCGTCTTCTACCTCCAAGAGGGTCAGACGGGAGAGTTCGCCTTCAAGGACGCAGGCGACCTTACATTTGAGGTGTTTGGCGATACGGACTTGCAGGAGACGACAAACGGTAACCATTCAGCTTTTACGTGGAAGCAGGTCGCCGGTTCCACGGTGGTCAAATTCTCCAACGGCGCTCTCGTCTACCTGCTTGAGCAAAAGTCGGCGTGGCGTTTCTGGGCGCCCCCGACAACGTCAAATCCTACTGTGAAGCCTGACGAGCAGCTCTTTATCCAGGGCCCTTACCTCGTCAGAAGCGCCAGCATCTCTCACGGCGTCCTCCACGTCTCTGGTGACAGCGACAAGGCTACAACGATTGAGGCCTACGTCGGCGACAAGCCCATCGAAACCATTGACTGGAATGGCCTGCGCCTGGCCGCCACAAAAACTGCTTACGGTTCCTTCACTGCTCAGATTCCCGGCGCCGAGGACCGTGCTGTGACCCTCCCCGAGCTGTCAAACTGGCGCGCGGCCGAAGCCCTTCCCGAAGCGGCGTCCGACTACGACGATTCCCGATGGACCGTCTGCAACAAGACGACGACGCCTAGCCCGTATGCTCCAGTTACTCTACCGGTGCTCTATAGCTCCGATTATGGCTTCTACTCGGGTGCCAAGATCTACCGCGGTTACTTTGACGGCGCCAACGCCACCTCGGTCAATATCACGGCCTCCGGCGGTTTGGCGTTCGGATGGTCGGCTTGGGTGAATGGACAGTTCCTCGGCGGCGACGTTGGGTCCGCTTCGGCAACGACAACCAACAAGACTCTCACGTTCCCTCGGTCCGCGTTGGTTGAGAAAAACAACGTGGTCACGGTTGTGGTCGACTACCATGGTCACGACCAGGCCTCGACGGCCCAGGGTATCAATAACCCACGCGGCATCCTCGGCGCCCAGTTGCAACCCGGCAGCACACGCACCAATACGGGCTTTAAACTGTGGAAGCTGGCGGGCGCGGCCGGCGGCGAGGCCAACATCGATCCCGTCCGCGGACCCATGAACGAGGGTGGCCTCTACCCGGAGCGCCTGGGCTGGCACCTGCCCGGCTTTGTGCCCACCGGCTCCTCTTGGAAGCCCGAGTCCCCGCTCGTCGGTCTCTCCGGCGCGGGCATCCGCTTCTACGTCACGGATTTCACGCTCAACATCGACTCGGACCTGGACGCGCCGCTGGGCATCGAGTTCTCCGCGCCCGCGGGAACGACGGCACGCGTCATGTTCTGGATCAACGGGTACCAGTATGGCAAGTACGTCCCGCACATTGGTCCGCAGACACGGTTCCCTGTGCCACCTGGCGTGCTCAACAACCGCGGCCGCAACACCCTGGCCGTCAGCCTGTGGGCGCAGACCGACGCGGGTGCCAAGTTGGACGGGCTGAAGCTGGTGCGGTACGGGCAGTACCAGACGGATTTCAAGTTCAACCGTGACTGGAGCTACCTCCAGCCCGGGTGGAAGGACAGGCAGGAGTATGCTTAGTTTAATGCATCACGGGCAACGTCGGCCGGCGTGACTAGATTCTTAGTTGTACATATTTTGATACACGTCATCCCGTGAACTACCTATTCGGATTTATTCAACTTCTTTCTGGCGATAGAAGCCTTTAGAATCCGCGTCCACTCCGAAGCGTGTCGCTCCCAGTAGGCTGCCCACTTCTCGTCCGAGGCGCAAAACTTGCGCCATTTCTCGCAATGGTCCACCAGTTTCTGGTACGAACCGGGGATGCCCGCCCCGGCCGCCTTGAACAGCCATCCCCCTGCCCCCTTGTCGTCCGGGTACAAGTCAGCCAGGCGCGACCACCCCCGCGCGTAGCCCAGCTTTCCCAGGTGGAAAAAGGTGTCCTTGGCTTTGTCCTTCTCGCCGAGCCGCAGGTACGCGTCGCCCTGGCCCTCGAGCGCGGAGCACATCCAGTCAAAGTAGGCGGCGTCCTTGCCGAGCGCGAGGGCCTGCGTGAAGGCCTCGAGGGCGAGGTAGTCGTCGCGCTCCGTCTCGCGGTGGAGGTGGCGGAGGCCGGCGACGACCATGGCGTTCGCGTCGCGGCCCTCTGCGATGAGGGCCAGGCACCGCGTGCGGGTGTGGTGCCAGCGCGGGTTGTCCCAGTCGTAGTAGTTTTTCTTGCCCTCGGCCCTGTAGAGGTGGCGGCCGAGGGTCAGGGCGGCCGGGTCGTAGCCGAGGCCGGCGGCCGTCTCCATCATGTTGAACTGTAGGATGAGTTCGGACTCGGAGCTGGTGTTTGTGAAGTAGAGGAGGCCGGCGGTCTCATGGAGTTCGCCCGCCGTGATGTTGTTTTCTGCGGGGTTTCGTTAGCATTGGTGCGTGAAGTGGTCAGCAAGGAAAGGGGGAAGGGGGGGGGGGTGTGCTAACCTTTGACGAACGCCATTTGCCAGTCTCGTGGTTTATCAGGCCGGACGAGGGCTTTCATGTACTTCATGTAGACGTCGTGGGCCCGTTCCGCCGTGACGCTCATGTAGGCGAGCTCGCGGAGCAGAATCTTGAACTCGGTGAGAGACCGGGGCTCGAAGACGACGTCTCGAGGCTTTGGCTTCTCCTCTCTGGCGCTCGACTTTTTGAGGCCCGGAAGGGGCCGGAGTTTGCTCTTTGTCTTTAGCGTCCTCGTTGTCGTTGTCGGCATCGTTGTCGGTGGTGGTGGTGACGGTGCTGCAGGGGCCCATGGTAATGACGGCGGCGTGGAGACGCAGGCTAGGAGATGCCTTCTGACGCCGCTGGTGCGGGTAGGAACAGTCGCGAGGCGGAACATGGTTGGCGATGGTGTTGGGGTGGTGAGTATGAGATGAGATGAGATGTGGCGCGATCGCCGGTGATTTATCGGTTGTCGAGGTGCGACCCAATGCACGTTTTGAAGTCTATCAGTACAACTTTAATGTATTTTACGAGCTGAACAGTCGCCTTCAGTCTCTTTTTGAAGACACTTTGCGACGTCGTGAATTAAAGCTGGCGATGATGAGTGAGAAGGGTGGGAGTGAAGCTCCGGGGAAGCTCGAGTGAGGTCCGCGCCAGTGAAGTGGGTCTAAGGCGACCAGCCAATCGAATCTCATCTGCTTGACGGCAGTCTCCACCTCGAAAAAAAAAAAGTTGCGACTACACCTTTTCGCGACGACATTTCATCGACATTTCTGTCTTCACTCACCACCTCACTGACAAAAGTTCTCATCCCGACTCACCTACAACTATTTGCATTCTTGAAGGAGGATATCTTGAACCACATTGGCTGCGAACGAAATCGTCTGTGTAACAAGCGACTCATCAAGTGTTATATTCAACAGCGGATTCACGGCCGGCCGCTCACCACGAGCAACCCACCCTCGACAGATTCAAGGGTTCAGATTCACAATGGTCACCACACGAAACGGGAAGCGCACAGCTGCCGAGGCGTCCGCCGCAGCTGCGACCACCAAGAAGCAGAAGCTCCCGGTGCGGGCAAAGGAGGGCAAGACGGCCGCCAGCAAGAAGGATGAGACCAGCCGATCGTCATCATCAAAAAAGAGGGCCTCCTTTGTCGTGGAGCTAAAATCGGAAGCCGGCACGGCTGCGGGCGTGCAGGACGTCAAGGAGAAGCAGATCATCACAGGCGCCGAGCAGCCGGCTCCCAGGACGGACGCTGATGAGATTGGGGATTCTGATGCCTCGCCCGAGTCGATTGGCGACGAGGCGCACGAGGCTGCGGAACAGCTTGCGGCGGAGTCCAAGACGGCGCTCGTTGCGGAGGGAGGCGACGACGACGATTCCGACTCGGATGCGGCGCCTGAGGCAGTTTCTACGTCCAAGGCTGCCGTGCAGGCCAAGAAGTCTGCGCAGGCTGCCAACAAGGCCATTGCAGAGTGCGTTTTGCCATCTTGCGTGATTTGCCTTTCAGTGATTCTAACCCAAAGTGCAGACAACAAGCCAACCAGAAGCGCAAGCGCCAAGAGCGCAACGCCAGGCTCCAAGAACAGGCCGCGGCGCGCAAGGCTCAGGAGGACGTGACACCGGCGAAGAAGTCGAGTAACGAGGAGGAGGAGGAGAGCGAGGAAAAGACGGAGACTGCGGCGCGGGAAGCCACCACCACAGGACGCCGGAAGAGGCTGGATCTCCCTTCGGAGCTCCCGGCCGAGTTCCTCGAGTCCGACTCGGAGGACGACGGCGAGACTGAGGACGGGGCGGGGGATCGCAAGCCCCGCAAGGCACGGAAGCTCGAGACGGCGGAGGCCCAACTCCTGCGCGAGGCCCGCGCGCCCAGGGACGAGGTCGTCGGCACGACCGTGTTCCGGACCGTCAAGAAGGAGGACGAGAGGCTGGCGCCCAAGGCGCAGAAGTATTCTGTCAATGCCAAGAAGGCGTTGCTGGCCCGTGGTAGGGCGGCGGTGAAGGCGCGCAGGGGGTTTTTGGTTTAGGATGCTAGAGCGAAAGGGGGTGTGGAAAGGTGCTGCTTAATTGATGGATGTCTAGGGATATGCCCCGGGGGCAACGGATGATATACAAAAGTTTTTGGGTTTGCGGTTCATCAAGCGGAGTCTATTGCTGCATGTCTGTCCAAGTGAAGTTGATCAATCGGCTCTAGGTCTCGGGATCCGGCTCCGAATAACGGCGCTCACAGCACCGGTGTCTCCACTTTGGCCATCGGTCCAGACGCCACAAAAGCTTAGCCTGGTCACTTCGATTATCAGGGTTCTTTGTAAAGGATCTTATCATAACTCCACCATACGATCCAGAGCATGGCCATTAGGAAAGCTGCAGAGACGGTAGCATTGCAGAGGAGGAGGACACCTGGGATTGGACCATGTGCCATAGTGGGCTACCATTGCGCCATTGTCGCAACCCAACCAACGGCGCGGATGTTGGCCGAAACGGGCAGACAAGTCGTTTATTGCCGGGATTGTTGCGACCGGCCATACTGCGAGTGCCGACGACTCTGCGACCTCGCAGCAGGCTCAGGCCGTCGGCCATAAGAAGCGTTTTTTTTTTTTTTGTGATGGGCTCGGATCTGATGAACTGCCCTCCCTAGTCTATGCTCAAACAATGGCGATGGCTTCACTCGAGGAAAAGTCACCTCCCGTGGCCGCCACGGACCCAGCCGACACTCACGATGAAAGCCAGGATACATCCCGCGACAGCCCGTGGATTCGCTTCATGACAGCGATCCGTTGGTACTCCAAAGACACGCCCAGCGAAGAAAAAAGACTCGTCCTCCGTCTGGACCTGTTGATCCTCGTCTTTGGCTGTCTCTGCTTCTTCACAAAGTACCTCGACCAGTCCTCCCTGACCAATGCCTACGTCAGGTAAGCTCTTCACTCCGCATCGCGCCCCCCTCTCAATACCCCAGACTAACAAGTTCACAGCGGCATGAAGGAGGACCTCAACCTCCAAGGAAACGAACTCAACTACACGACCATCGTCTTCTGGTCCTCGTACTGCACCTCCATGATCCCCGCCTGCTACTACCTGACCCGCCACCCCATCAACATCGTCCTCCCCGTCCTCGAGATCGGCTGGGGCCTCTCCACCCTCGGTCTCGCCTGGGCGCGCAACGTGCAGACAGTCTACGCCATGCGCTTCTTCACCGGCCTCTTCGAGTCCTCCTCCTTCACAGGCATCATCTACGTCATCGGGTCCTGGTACAAGCCAGCCGAGATCGGCCGCCGCGTCGCCCTCTTCTACGTCGCCGCGCCCCTCGGCACAATGTTCGCCGGCTACCTCCAGGCCGCCGCCTACACCAACCTCCACGGCGCCCGCGGCCTTGCCGGCTGGCGCTGGCTCTTCGTCGTCGACGCCGTCATCACCGTCCCCATCGCCCTCGTCGGCTTCTTCGTCTTCCCGGACGTCCCCGCGCGGTCGAGGCCGAGACTGCTCCCGCCGCGCCTCTACGCCCTCGCGTGCGATCGCCTCCGGGGCCTGACGGCGCCGCCGCGGCTCAAGGTCTCGCGGGACATTTTCGCGCGCGTGTTCCGCCGCTGGCATTGGTACCTCTTCGTCGCGCAGTGGACCATCATGAACGAGAACCTGCAGCCCAGCGGGTCCCCGTTTTCCCTCTACCTCAAGGCCTTCCCCGCGACATACTCCGTGACGCGGATCAACACCCTGCCCACCGTCGCGACCGCCATCTCCGTCGTCTCGGCCTTTGCCGCGGGCGCCGTGGCCGATCGCACGGGCTGGTTCGCTGGGTTATCTGCCGCTGCCACCGTTCCATCGCTGGTTGGCGTCATCCTACTCGTTGCGTGGGACGTCGGCGAGCGCGGTCGTCTGGCGGCGTTCATGCTCAACGGGTTCGAGGGCGCGATCCCCTCGCTGACGATGGCGTGGGCTACAATTACCATGGCCGGGGATGCCGAGGAGCGCGCCATTGTGACGGCGTCGATGAATGCCATTGGGCAGGCCATTGTTGCCTGGGCGCAGCTGCTGCAGTTTCCTGCTGTTGAGGCGCCGCACTTTCGGCGTGGGTTTAGGAGTGTTGTGGCGACGATGATGGTGCAGTTCTTCATTACTGGTGCGATCTGGTTCTTGGTCAGGAGGGATCGGAGGAAGCAGAAGGATGCGGTGGAAGACATCGGGGAGCCGATTCAGGAGGCCAAGCAAGGGGTCTAGGAGAGTGTACACTGATATGACTTATTGGACAAGGGATCTGGTGAACGGTACTTGGTATTGATCTGTAACTACGCACCATGATATTGTGCGTATACATCAACGCGACCGAGCCTTCTTCTTGGGAGGGGACTCAATAATCTCCAGGTCAGAATCGGGCTCCTCGATGGCTCGCTTCTTCTCCTTCTTCCATTCCTTCATCTTGGCCTCTATGGCCTGTAGACAAGCATTCTTCAGTTCCTCTCGATTCAGCCCGCCCACATCATCATGTTCATCTTCCCACCACTTGCGAAGAGTATCGCTCCAAGCCTCTCGGGACGTATACTGAGTCTTATGTCCGCTCCTCTCCATCCAGTCCTTGATGCGCTCCACCACCATGTCAAATTGCGAACGCCGGGGCGCCAGTCTCTCAATCTGCTTCTCCAGCTCAGCCATTTCCTCGATGCGCATTTTGTCCCCTGCAAAGCCCTCCGTCACCGCGTTGCAGCCGTCAAAAGCGCTTCGAAGAGAGAAGCTGACGCCGTCTTTATCGACCTTGGACGCCCAGCAGACGGCCATGTCGTAGGCCTGGAGCAGTCCAAGCCGGGAGAAGCGCAGCATGGACGTCGCCTTAGTCAGGCCAAGTACCAGCGTATGAACAGGCTCGCCGTCGGGTCGCTCTCGCTGGGTGAGGCTGATGGTGACATGTGGGTGGATGTAGTTTGCCAGAGGAAGTCGCTTGCCCGGATCATCATTCGAGTTGTTGTCCTCCTCCAGATCGTCAATCACATGAGCCTTGAGTTGAGCAATCGGAGGTATGGGAACCTCAAAGGGGTATCCACCGACGCACTGCCTGTCTGGACACAGCGTCGTCCAAATTCGCTGGCGAACTCTGAGAGGTGTTGATGAAGATGTCGGAAATCTTTCATTGGTGCGAGGCTCTGGGGCGGCTGCCGGACGCTTGTGCTTTGGTGACGCTCGCTTCGTCTGTGATCCCTCAGTATGCGGCAGTGCAGGAATCATCACCACCTCCTCAGCGCGAGACTCCGTAGAAGTAAGCAGACGTATACCGCTGTCTGATGGTGAATCTCGCTTGGGTTTTGGCTGTCGCTTCGGTGCCTTAGGCGTACTGGGCGGTGACTCTCTCTTCTGTGGTGCATCCTTGAGTGCCTGTTCTTGCGGCGGCGGAGACTGGGAATGACCTGCTGTCCGACTCGCTGCCTGATCTCTGAGTTCCCTGAGAAAAGTAACATCATCCACACCGCCAGGTTTGTCGTGGAGAAGGAAGTTGCCGAATACTCTAGCCCATGCGCTACTTTCCTTCGCAAAGGCCGCTGGATATGTAGCTCTGGCCCTGAGCACTCTCAGCCTCCTTATCGTCTGACCATAGTTGTAATTTCCTTCGTCCCTCTGCCTCATAATCGTTTCGAATGCCAATGTGTACTCGGCATTGTGCTTCTGATCGTTCTCAAGTATGTCGGGCGCAGGTGCATATGCCCGGCCCACCAGGTTTGTTGCGTCATGTCCATCATCAGGCCATTTAGGAACAGTAAAATCGGTGCGGCGCCTAATTTCGGCAAGGGATTCCGTTGCCTTGTCATAATATCTACCAATTTCGGCGATTTCACGAGAATCGCGTGAGCCTGGCAACAAATGTTGTTTCTTGTTCAGACTTCTGGTGAATATAAGGGGCCACGGATATCCGTATCCATCATCTGGAAACCCCAAAACAAGTATCCAGATGTCTATGGCCGTGTATATTAGAGGCATATTGCGCCGCCGCCGAACGAGCCATTCCATATGGTGTTGTAGCAGCTCGTCACCACCCGCAGGCAGTAGCTTGCAGTCATCGTAGCAATGTTTGACAGTGTTGCACATTGGACAACCCTTGACAGTACCATATATGAGGACTCTTTTGCTCAAGTAATAGCAATCTGCCAACTTGTGGCCCGGTTTCTGGCATGCGCCACAAGAGACGCTCGACTTCGTCTCGTCACCATTGCCAGCATCGTCGGGGTGCTCGCTATCGGAGGACATCGTTGCGATCTGAAAAAAAGACTTAGCGATCCTCTCAGAAATAGAAAGCTGCCATAGGTATGTAGAGAAGGAGCGACTTACCTGGCGTAGAAGTAGCAGCCTTCCAAATGGTATCTGCAGTTACAGTCGCCAATGAGACGGAGGCAATTGCATTGGGGGCGTCGATGTGATCAAATCAGGGCAGAAGAGTGGGATTGACGATTGGATTGAGAGGAAGAAGTTGTTGCTTTGTGTAAATGTCTTCCTGGGAGGTGAAAATTTGGAAAAAAGGTGAAAGGTGAAAAGTGCAAAAGTAGGAGGGCAGGTCTATGGTGGCTCACAAAAAGGAAGGAGCGACTCTCAGCTTCCTTCCTTCCAAGAAAGTCGACTTCATTTTCCATGGCAAACAATTTATCACACATATTTCCCCTAGAAATTGAAAGCTGGAAACTGTGCCATCGGCTTTGGAATCTCGCCCTCCCTCACCTAAGCCTCTCTCATCTAGACCAAGTCGACCACGAAGGGCGGGAAAGCAGGTAAGCATTCTTCACCGAATCTGAGAGAAGGTGCATGAGAAGACCTTGAAGATGCCAGGGGCTTCCATCTTGAGAGTAGATTACTCCTATACGGTACCTGTCTTTGTTCTTGACCATTGTTGAGGCTCGCCAATCTTAATGCAGATGCTGCGACGTCCTGTTTTAGGGAAGGTTATGGCGTGTGAAGGACATATGGCTGTCAATAGATATCCTCTAATGGAACATGCCATCTAGGCTCATACAGTAGTATCAAACTGTTCATTTACGTCTAGCAAGAGTTCTTGCTTGAGGTCAGGCACTCTGCCCGCTTCGTGTTGGTGACACGATTCCGAAGTCTATTGAGCAGAGCTGATATCTATGCAGGAAGAAGACGAGAAAAAAGCGAGTTGGGTCTGGGCATCATGTCCACGGCAGCTTAGTCCTTGACAAACCTCTTCAAGTAAACATCAATCTAAATAGATCTCATCACATGCTCATGAATGATATAGGCAGAAAAGTAGTCTCTTTCTCATTCACAGCAAAGGTGGGGGTCTGCGTGGAAAAGAAGGAACAAGATTACACTTTCACCTGCACCTTCCTCATCTCTCTTTATCACACCCCATATCTCTCAAACACCGTGAGATTCATCTACAACTCACTGCAATGCAATTTAAAAGGAACAAACATCACTAAAAATGACAAAAATTACAAAAAGAATGCGTGAGGCATTGAACCACACCCGATTTGAACGGATAACCTTTCGATTGAGCCACTGCTGGAGTCGAACGCGCTACCGTTGCGCCAGCGGTCCTATTGGATGAAAGGCATAGTTGCGTAAGGGGTCAAGTCCTGTTGCACGCGCGGCCTTCTGTCCGACGGCCCGTATGATTGGCTGTACAGGAATAACTGGCCCACACCGCCTTACTTTAAGCATTGCGGAATGGGCCGACGCATGTTCTCACTTCGGCGCTCACACAAATCCGGGCCCTCCCACACAGTCCAGTCTGAGAGAGTCATGATGCTGCAGGAACCGCACCACCGCCAACATGACTTCCAGGGCGGAGCAAGGTGGGCTCGTGACGACCCTCCCTCGCCCCGTGAGAACCAAGAAATCAAGGACACCACATGCTGAACGTGTGTCTCGTCATGCGAGACAAGCGCGCTTGCCATCCCCAGACGCCCAGAGGGGCTCTATAGGAAACGTCTGGAGTCCTGGACTTTGGCCCTCTTGCCCATCCTGCGATAGTAGAACGTACCGAGAACCGTAGATCAGCGTTTTCTGGTGATCTAAAGCCGGGGAGCCGCGAGTCTACGACGGCAACCCCAATGCGACAGACCTTGCGGACCCTGACCACGCACCAGAGTGTTAGAGAGAAAGAGACCTCTACGCCGAAGCCGGGTCACGGCGTTCAGTGAGTGGAGACGCTTTCTGCGGCAGGCGGGGGAGGTTGTTGCAACAGGACTGGGTCTTAATGGTCCTCTGATAACACCCATCCAAACGCTTCCGAGGGTCGACGCCGCTTGCTGCCCCTCGTTTTCTCTTCTCTTTTCGCATGCATCCGGTACGTACGGTGACATCGGTCTGTTGCCCTGTACTGTGAACGGGAGTGAGTGAGAGAGCACAGACTTTTGAAACAAAAATTCCTTCTTCACCTTCTGTATCCGTCCCATGTGGGAATGAATTGGCCGCCGCGATAAGAGGATTCGCCGCTTGTGGCGCCCTGCTCGTGTCTGTGAGCTTTGAGTTTGACAACTTTGACAGAACCCGTACAGCGGGCTGCGCTGCCGTCCAGAAGCAGCCCGCTCGTCTGTGCGACAAGGTTACCTGATCAGCATGTCGTCTGATCCAAGAGGCGCCATCATTGACCTGCCTGACACAGCGGATCTCCCAAACGCGCGCAACAATATGGGATGCCTCAACCATCGAGCATACTGCGTACTTGCGTACATACTTGCGTACCCCGCCCTTGAATGAGACGGCCCTGGGCCAACGGAAGCGTATTAAGGCAGAACCTCGGCGCGGATGATGGATCTGCGCTGGGGGATTGGTCTGAGGAGTGGTTTCCCCGACACCAGGATGGGCCGTCTTGGACATGTTTGAAAATAAGTGTGAAACACTCCAATCGTGTGGGACGCGATCAAGATCCAACGCTGGACTGCATGAGCCCTGGCCGAGTCGTCGATTTGGAATGGACAACTTGTTTCGCCGCCCACTCGCCATCATCCGACCAAGGCAGGTCGCAGAAGATGAAGCCGTCTCTGCAGACCCGAGGCCGCTTCTCACCACCCCCAAGTCGGAGTGTGATGATCCTCCAGGTTGGACGGAGATCGGCTTGAGGTCGATCCCACACAATGCCGCCGAATCGCTCCCGGAATCCCGCTGTGTGCCGTCTTCTCATCCGAAGCTGTCCGTCTCAAGAAGCCACCGCGTCACCCCGTTTGCCAACTTACTTTGTTGGCAGTATACTGCATCTGCCTTCCTCAAACGGACGAGCAGGATACATCTTGTGGTCGCTCGGCTTTTCCGATAAGCTTGGCCATTGTGGTGTGGATGGCCGAGTCAGCCAACAAGACTTGTTCCACAGACAATTGCACGCTGTGGTTGCATGGGACCCGCTTCATCCCATTTCTGCGCTGGTCTCTGGTAGGTTCTGCGGGTTGAGCCTTTTCGGATCCGACTTGTGAATGAACAGAACACAGCATGAAGAGCGCTCAAGTACCCGTTTGATCGACACCCGCAGCGGAAGACGCAAGACTGACTCAACGGTAGTGGAAGCACGAGAAACCACGTGTAGACTAGGCAAAATGTTAATTGAGGTCGCGAGCCGTTGATGAGGACAAGTGGCTGCGGGCAAGACAACGCTAGAGCGGTAGTCGGCGTTCTTCTAGAACTATATCGGCAGATACTCCGGACCTGTCCGTAGTAGGCTGGCGATCGACATCACCAACGCACGCCCCGTCAACGACGGACCGGTGACGAGGCGGCAGTAGTTGGATAGCTTGTCGCTTGACAGTCTGCCAACGACCATACAGACCGCGTTGCGCCGTTCAGGTCAGTGAGCTATTCGACTAGCCACATGAGCTTCTCGTGTTTGAGGCAACGTTGAGAACGCCATCGGCCGACGTCGTCACACGTCGTGAAGCCAGCAATTGGCAATACGAGCCAACCCCGGCCTGCCCACCTTGAGCATGAGTGTTTGAGGATGGCACTGACGCTGAGCAGAATTTCCAAGACCGCGGTTGAGGATGCCTGGTCCGCCTGGCCAGCTATTGAAACCTCCTTCATAGAATCTGTCCTTGTGAGAACGACCCGATGATGTGTCGCAAGCATGTTGGTAATTCACATCTCAGGATCGGGCTGGCTTTTTTCGAGCCCGACGCTAGCGCGTTCTGGACCGTCTGATGTCTCCGATGAGATGTCTTTATTCCCTTTCCATGTCGACCCGAATGTCTGATAAGCTCTAGAAGTTGACTGGCGTTCGCGAAGCATGTTCGGGGGGCTTGCAGCGCGGAGACGAGCCGCAGGAATGGTGAGACGTGAATCAGTCTTGGCTCCGTCCCAAAACATGGCAATCCAAGCTCCAGTTTTTCCATCATCTCTCCTGCACGCCACATATCCCGGGGTACCTCTCACTGCAGAGGCGTCTGTTTGCATTGCCGATGTCTTGCTAGACTGTTGGCGGGTAAATAGATGCGCAAGTCAGTTGTGCAAGAGTCTGGGAAAGGTAGCCTAGGCACTTTGCTTCAGCCGGCAGTCCAACCAAAGCTGTCATGACTTGAGCCGGCAGATTCGAGACTGAAGTTGAATGTAGTCGACAATCTGCATTGGGACCGCATGGTCGCAGCCACACGCACCTACCGAGAGGGCCCGTGCGAGGCCGGTCTTCAACAAAAGGGTCGGAACTGCAGCTCGGTTGAGTTGGGTTGTGATCTGCAGGCTTGACACGGTGCAAAGTCAGTCACCGCACACTTCAATAACTGCAACGTTCAACGACGATTACAATACCCGGCTGTCACCGCCCTTTTGGCGAAACCTGGGCCAGGCCTGGGGCGGCTATCGCCTATTCTCCGTAGGCCTCCTAGCGATGCCTTCACAAAACGCCTAGAGACCGCATTTTGAACCAGGCCACACGTGGCGCAGGGGGGTAAAAATTGGACCTGGCTGAGCACTCGCCGCGCAGCTCACGTCAATCGTTACTGGACTGAGCAATCACGTCGCCAGACCTGGGGATATCTTCAATCCTTTGCGTGAGTGAGACACACCAGGGGTTGCACCCTGGCCCGAATGCACCGTCCCGCCAGCGAAACGCACCGTGGCTGGAGTCTTGGACGGGACGCTTGAACAAACCAGCCGAGCCGTTTGTACGCCCTGAAAGTGGACGTCGGGCATCCGGGCGAATGGGTCTCGCGGCACGCCCGGTCGCTTCACGGCAAGACAGGGGCCCGATCTGGTTCTCGATGGTGATGTGCTGAGCTGGCAGGGCATCGAAACTTGTCCAGGAGATGGATGAGCACACCACCGATGCAGTTGAGAGGTCGGTGACAGAGAAGAAGAAAGCGCATTTGTCGAGAGGTCATTGTGAGCGCAGTTTCCTTCTTCCTGATCGGTCCTGTGGGCTAAATCGGGATGCATGTCCGTATCGCTGCAAGACCGGCGGCGAACCATAATAAAACTTTGATATCGTTACGTATCCATTTTCTTTCTTAGGGTGCTGGTCGACTTGACGCCGGCCAACGATCACGGCGTCCGCCACCGCGCATCTTGTTGAGCTTTGGCCAAGCGGGAGCGAGGCCGTCAACGCCGTCAATCTTTGGACATCATTTGCCTCTGTAATGCAAAAGCTCGTGATGCAATATAGAGCGTGGCTGCGCCTGACCAAGCTAAGTTGTCGCTAGCTGGATCCGTATCTTCTCGCGATTCATCAATTGCAAAGGCAGGGCCGTGCCAGCGAGACGGGACTCTGGAATGGTGGTCGCGAGCTGTTAGCTTGGAGATTCGGCGGCGGTCGCTACTCCTCTCTGGTCTTTGGACAATTTCCGATTTGGCCCCCGTTTTGTGCAATGAGCCGGGCCAGGATCATCCTCCTATCGATGTAAGGAAGACTCTGCCAGCAAAAGGCTTCGGTTGGAAAGTCAGCGATGGACAATCGCCCCCCCCCCCCCCCCCTGCTTTGCCAGTGATGTAACTTCAAAGAGGGACTCCCCGGTAATTCGATATGAAGAGTGCTTCCACTATGATCTGTGTGCCGCTATATGGAGCAGGCTGTAGCAGAACCTACATACCTCCTGAGCGCGCTGGTATCTGCCAGAGACCTGAGCTGCTGAGCAAAGTTGCCATTGCACAACAGCAGGTATTGTCTTTCGTGCGTAATCAAATAGACGGCCGAGGAGCATTTCGTGCGATTCGGGTCGGCTCAGCGAGGCCCCACATTGGCCCACAGGCTGGTTACAGCAGCAAGAATCTGGGCAAGGCAGGGCGGTGACCCCTCGTCGACGGGGAATTTGATGCACATATCCGTCCCCACGAGCTAATTAAGCGTCCCCTTTATTGTGCGTCGGTCATGTTACGGCAGACCGTCTTGCCCGACGGTTACGCAGCATTTTCGGTCCGTATTGACAGATGCCGACGGGACGCTCGCGGATGAGTATGAGGACGCAGTAGCCGAAGCAGAAAACGCTGCAATGACCCGAATGTCTTCAGATGAGCACATTACCGAATGAATGCATCTGCTGGCCGGCTGTTGGTTTCAGCAGAGTGGTTGGTTAGAGTCCGTCTGGCCTAACGGCTGCCCGTTTCACCAACGCTTCCGCCAACCGTATGTGTAGCCAGTCGATTGGAACGATCTTGCTCCCTGATACTAACTGCATCGTGGATCCCTAGGATAACAAGATAGGGACTTGGGCTGTACGCAGTAGAGGCGCTGCAGACCTAGCGCCACTCGTGCAGCAACGGCGCCTTAGCTTCAATTGCTCTAGGCACGCCAGCCTGGCTTCTGGAAACAGCCTGGTCCTCGTTGGAAAGCCGCTGCGTCTCGCTCATTGGTGTGACTATCAACCAACCGGCATCCTGTGTGTATGGATGAGTGATCTCGCCCGCGTCGGCTAGGAAGCTATTTGCCTTGGAGTACGTGTCGCTGTGCCCCTCGAGTATTGGCAACGATGTAGCAACTCGCTTGAGACGTCGTGAGAAACGGGTGATGGATCAATATTGCGGCAGAGTATAATTGCGTTCCGATTACTGAGTCGTCCGTGAGCTACTTCGATAAGCATCGCGGGTACCAAGATGGGGACGTTTTGGTAGTGGGCGATCCTTTGATGCCACCTCAGGCCACATACCTAGTCTCAATGGCAGGGTTTGCTCCGTCAAGCAGTGACCACTTCAAGCAACAACCATCTACTATTGAAATGCTCACTTCAGAGTTCAACTCAGGTACTCCATATACGCACGAATACCTGGGCCTAGGGTGAGCGGGCAGAAGAAGGTTTGAACCAGACTGGGTAGGTCGTAGGGGTCCTATTGGGGTTGTCTTTGGATACTTCGGCTCCTAGGCCCTTCCATGCCACGTGCCGTGTGGCTGATAGCACAGAGCGGGCGGTCGACCCTGGTGTTCCCCCTGCCAATCGTGCCATTTTGACGGTATTTCCAAAGTACGAAGAACAAATGTCCCAACGACACGGGAAACGAGATGAGCGTCTGTCGCTATCTCATGGCGGAGAATGCTTGCCTCAGGGTTGCCTGTTGGATTCTACGGCGTGTATCCGTACCCGTGTGGATACAGGAGGAAGCCGAAGCAGGCACATGCGGCGTGTATCGCATTCTGCGTATCAACGAGCTCGACACCCTCTTCTGCGGTCTGCGGCCTAGTGCTTCACTGAAAGAAATGGTTGTTTAGCATAGCCATCGCAAGCCCATCATCACTAGAGAAGGGAGGCGCGGGAGAAGGGCCTCCAATAAGCGGAGTGTGTGCTTGGGCGGACAGGAACCATCAGGGATGGCATCCAGAGGAGGGACGGGAAGACCCAATCGAAATGGAGGGACTGGGTAACCCGATGACGACGGCGGTTTACATAGCGCTTCCGCTGACGACGATGCTT